ATAAACTATTGTAGTCTAGTGTGGGCAGATACATCAAAAGCAAATTGGAACAAAATATTTTTACTGCAGAAAAAAGCGATTCGTCATATTGCAAACGTACCATACGACGCACATACAAGTCATTTATTCAGAGAATATAAGATTTTACCGATCGATCACATACACAGTTTCAACCTTATTATGAAATACAAGCAAAGCTTGCTATCAAACAACGCTTGTTTTCTTAAACTGTGTAACCTCAGAAAAAATACACAATCCTATTATGACATTCGGAAAAGGCCTTCCTGGTTCGTTCCTTATTCGCGAACTAATCGTGGTTTTAGAAGACTTGAACACTGTATTCCAGCTTGTTTTAACATGTTTGAAAATAAAAACATCGACATCTTTAATATACATAAAAAACAACTTAAGGACCTTCTCATCGAAAATGGCGGCGTGTAGTTTAGCTTCTTCTAGTTGTCCGGCTACAGTACTATATGTAAAAGAAACACCCTATAATAGTGCTTGTGTAACATGGCATCCTATGATGTTTGCTTTCTTTGACATTTTTTTCGTTGCTTTTTTTACGAGTAAAACGTGCAACATTTCACTCGTCAATGTTTCCCTTGTGCATTAAAACTTCTGCTTTTCGCATACCCAGTGTTGTAAACGTTGTATAATCATTTTGTAATACTTTGGTAGCCGTTTAGCAACGTGTGCATTGTTTCATGATTGAACGCACGCTGTTTTCTTTTGTTTTTTGTTCTTTTTCTCTCTTTGTGGTTTGCTTATCTTATGTAAACCTGAAACTTATGTAATTTTGATGCATTTTCTTTTTATTTCCTAATTTCTTGAAGTTTTGAAAATCGACGTCAAATTGTTTTTTCATGTTTTGTGCTCTGCTGATTTTTTTTTTTTTTTGTAATGCCAAGTGAAAAGGGGTAGGAGCCTCGTCAAGCTGCTAACATAGCAGCTTTTTGCTCTTATCCTTGCGTTTTCTTTTTCGCAACTCTGTGAAGAAAATGCTCAATAAAAACTGAAACTGAAAACTGAAACTGAAATTAAGGCATTCATCAGCATCCGTTAGTTGCAAAAATGAATGAGCACGGAATGCAAGGAAATTTCGCGCCAGCCACTGCATGCTTCTCTGAAATGTCTCGAAGATGAGAATAGAAACGCCCACTATAACACTCTACAAGAGGTAACGAACTGCTTCCCAAACTCTTGCTTTCGTCTGCGGTAACAGCAGGAAGACATAAAACGCACTGGCCGGGAAAAGAACAGGCAGGCTTTCTATCCGCAATAACAGGAAACGAGAAGGGAATAAATATGAAAAAAAAAAACGGAAAGGGGTGAGAGCGTGAGCGGTTTAAAATGCCTGGCAGTGCATTGACACTTAACGAGACGTAATTTCAGCGTGCTGCTTGACGTGAGTACTGTTTGCTGCAATGGTCGGCGCTGGGCGTGTTGTATTTCATTTCCTAAGCACAAACCAGCGTACGGTATGAAATTTGATGATGATGATGATGATGATGATGATGATGATGATGATGATGATGATGATGATGATGATGATGATGATAGTACAAACGAATGGCTCACACCCACTCCATGGGTTTGGACAAAAAACGATTATTTAGATAATGGATAACATATTACTCTTAAATCTAATGAACTTTAAAATGGTTAGAAGAAATCAAATATTACTAATTGAGAGATTTCCAATCAAAACCACCTTGATTCGACTAAAAATCTTTGTAATTTGTAATGTAAGAATCTTTATAAACTATAGTCATGGGGCTAAAATCACGCAATATCACGCAACTTGTCACGTGACAAGTTCCCGTCAAAGCCACCTGACATGTGCGTGGTGTGTGAAGAGACCAAAATCGGAGATGAGTAGTTAGTTTTAGCCATACTACTAACGAAAAAACTCGGCAGATCCTACGTACCTTGGGAATCGACATATGCGAAGCGTGCGGAGGAAAGGTTACCGTGTTGTAATTTTTTAATGAGCGACAGGTCATGAAATGACGCTAAATATATGTATAAATGCTGCACGCACAGACATATGTGGAATAATTGCAGAGGTTTAGATAACCAGTTGTTTGAACTTGCACAACGACGTCAACAGGGACATGAGTATTAGCAACACCAGAAGCGATAAGCTGATATGAAGCGCTGATATATGTGGTGCTCACGAGGATAGCTCTGGACACAGCAACATTAATCAACTCCAGCGCACGGCGCTTAAATAGAATTGGCGTTAACCCGACGTGAAGGCTGCATCAAAAAGTACGTGTGTAAGTTTTTTTATATATAAAATCAGGTAGTCAGCACTGCAACCACAACTGACGTTTCACGAACATTAGGGCGTACTTGAAAAACAGTTCTTAAGTATGGGCTGCCTTTGTGGTATAATACTTCATTGTCACGCAGAACGCTTAGGTTTGATTCCTGCTGAGGCCTTGACATTAATTCTTTGCATTTGTCGGATCAGCGCTGCCGATGTCAGCATTTCTTAACGCTCATAAAATTGCCCATGTGTGTTCTCGTCGTTCCTGATTGATTGATTGATATGTGAGGTTTAACGTCCCAAAACCACCATATGATTATGAGAGACGCCGTAGTGGAGGGCTCCGGAAATTTCGACCTCCTGGGGTTCTTTAACGTGCACCCAAATCTGAGCACACTGGCCTACAACATTTCCGCCTCCATCGAAAATGCAGCCGCCGCAGCCGGTATTCGAACCCGCGACCTGCGGGTCAGCAGCCGAGTACCTTAGCCACTAGACCACCGCAGCGGGGCTCTCGTCGTTCCTGGGTAGACGCTAAGTTTCAATCACGTGTGGCACATACCCGCATGCCAGTGGCACACACCTGCCGGCGGGTATGTGCCACTGTCTGGCGGGAAGTGTTTGATGACGTAGGCGACGGGATCACGACATTATTCATGTGTTGACCAGCGCGTCGAATTCGTCATACCATCTTACCCTCGCATACTAATGTTGGTTCACGCTAAGAGGGTGATCACGAGAGAACCCAGACAACTCCACGAGTAAACGGCAATTATCGAGCCAGGAATCGCAGCGCCGTTCACGACAATTACGCGTCACGCATCGTACGAATCAAAAATTGAAAATTTTCAAGATGGCTGGAGAATGATGGCATGCGGGACGCTAAGGTGCTCGAAAAGTGAAGCTATACGGCTTTGCGACAATGTGGTCATTTAAGGAGAAGGAGAATGTGGCGCTGCATTCCGCTGCTTTTGCGGAAGTACGGCTCAGCGCCCATAATTTAGCTATTGCTGGCGTCAATATATACACGCTGTACAGCCTGTGTTTTCAGGCATTCGTTATATTACCTCTTCTTATCGTCCAGCCAGGGTTATACGTTTAGTTAACTTTTTTTTACTATTATTTACGCGACTATAGGGCATTTGGCGTTAGACTCCTATACATAGTATTCGGATTCATCGGCGTCCTAAATTCAGGCGCTGCTGACCACTACCAGTCTAAATATGCAAATCGCGGCCGTTGAGGAAGCTTCCTGTTCTGGGACGTCCCGCAAAAAGGACGAGTTTTTAAGCGGGTCACAGACACGTTCACGGAACTGGTATGTTGACTTGGGTTTCATGACCATATATGTGCTTCACAACAAACGAAACTTCGAAGTTTGAATTAATAAGCAGGCGGATTGAGTGCAGTTATAGCGCAGAGTGAAAATCTAATGTAATTCAAGCCCAGCTGCACTCCATGTCATTATCATCTTGATGACGTCGAGCTGCTGTGTTCGATGTCGCGGGAATCGTATACCGGGATCTCCAAGTGCTTGGTAAGGAACCCAAGCAGATCTAAATTGGAACTTGAGCATATCGCTATGACGCGACTAAGTATCAGAAAGTGCTTCTGATAGCAAAGCAATGGAATTTCATTTTTTCAAATCTTTCTAGTCATCGTCGTTCTTCCATTCGCATGCACTGTCCCCGCTGATGTAATATACGCATAGTTCATATACATTTCCCTAATATGTGTACTAAAATTATGCAGAACTATTCACTAGTAAAGTTCTTTTATAACGGAACGACGAACAAACTACGTCAGTGAACTGCTTGTGGAGACGTTTTACGAAAAGCATCCCTTTTCCTATTTGAACCGCACAACGAACGCCAAGCCAGAAGTTGATGGTGAGTACTGGACTATATACATGCCCTAAGCGCCATTGCAAAGAATCGATGCGCCGTCGATACGCTCAGGTCAGTAAGAAGATTGAAGAAGCCTCGAAGGAGGCCACCTAGAGCATTTGCAAATACACGCATATATCGCGTCCGTCGGAACGCGACCGAAAAAAAAATTGATCCCACGGCCTTGTCTTCGAGGGGCCCGGGAACGGTGCTCCCACGGACGTCGCAGGCACCTTTAGACCTTGAAGCGCAACCAAGAGCCTATATGCTGATGGTGGTCAAGTCGGAAAGGAAGCAAGAAAGAAAAGAAATGAGAAAGCCGGAGAAGCTGGGTCAGTGCGGCGGTGCTGAAGAAGAAAGTCCCTGGATCGCCGGCGCCACGCAATAGAGTAACAGGGACAATGGAATCGTAACGGCGATAATAACCCGCGCGTAAGAAGACGTGTGAAACTCAGAAAAGAAGCAGCGAATGCCCAGGAAAAAAAAAGAAGAATCAAGAAAGGAGATGGGAAATGCAATGAGAGCGAGAAGTAACAAGAGCAACACTTGCAGTCGAGGAAACGTGACCCGGAGAAAGAAGGGTACGGCGGGATAGGATGCGTACGCGTAGGTAAGGATGTTGATGATGCCGAAAACGCTGGAGGGATGGAGAGCGGGGTAAATAAGCGGCAGCGCGTTGGCGATGCACGCGGCCGCTCATCTCTCTCCTCGCCACAATATGAGGAGCGGCGGCGGCCGTAATGGTTGGGCCGCCCATACGCGCGCCGCCGCAGTGTGCATGATGTGCTCGTCGGCCGCGCGACCGAATTCAGCCAGCTGGCGCATCTTCTCCGACGCAGGAACCCGCCGCCCAAGCTGAAGAACCAGGCCGAGTGGTCCGATGACTTCAACGATTTCCTCTCAGTGTGAGTATACTGTGCCGTCCTTCTCGTGTTCTTGCATGCTTAAACTTCGCGCTTGTGGCATTTTTCGCGGGACATATTGGTACGTACCACTTGCGCCCAGTATGATCAGTGACGTGCTAATCTGCACAGTGGCACCGGCACAGAAACACATTCAGTGACACAAACGCTGTTTCGACTATACAAGTGTTTGCAAAAAGCAATTTCACGATTGCGGGTGTTACAGTATGTGCTTGAGGCCCGTTCAACCATGGTCACAGTTTTGCAACTCGTTCTGAGCACCACTATACCTCCTCTTAGAGCTGGAGCTGCGGTCGATTTATGACGCGTTTAACTGTTTCACTCTAGTCATGTATTTCGGGACATTTAATCTCCGCCTTCCTAAGAAGCCTACGGTTACAGATACGCATCTGTCAGTCCGCAATGACGAAGCTGGTAAAAAAGTTTTGCCCTTAATTTTCTACCTCAGTTTGTCATTTGCAACTCAGAAGGTACCACCTATAGACTTGGATATGCGAAGAGAATTAGTCTCCTGCTTACCTACATGATCAGCATTTCGCATTTGACTTCTAAATAGACGGCTTGAGCGAACATAAAGTGTGGCTCCTAACGCACGCCTTTCCCCTGCCTCCTGTCTTGGAACCTGTGGCTGAGGAGATGAGGTGATCATCGGGCCATCTGTGCTAGCGGTGCTCAAGAAGATAGCTTGCGTATTGGTGAGCTCGCTTATGTACACAGTGCACCCAAAGTAGAGGTATTTTTCATTTGTGTTTAGCCTCACGCATAGTGAATGCTCTAAACTTATATTAACATTAATTTAATTACCGCCTTAATGACTTTGAGCGCTTATTGTTGTGGCCCATTCGCGAAAAGGTAGATAATGCAGGTCAGAAACACCTTCAGCTGTTGATTAGCGTCAAAAACTTAGCCGCTACAAAGTTCGTAATTTAATGCGAAGCGAATGAGTGCATTCGCCCGTTCAGTTTACGCTCTATAAATACAGAGGACACGCATGAGTCTATGCGACGCCCTTTACGTTTTTCTTACCGCAAAGATTCGTTCAACGAGAGATCAGTTCGGCAAACAATTTTTGCTGAGCGTAAGAGATTGGCCAACGCATTGTTCTCATAACGAGAAATAAGAATGAAGCACGCTTACACTTTGTGATAAGGTTACATTCAGTCGTCGAAATGGGGCGGAACTTTCCCAAGGCCAAGCGTTCTTTTCCTTTTTCCTTTTTTTCCTTTTTTTCGTTATTTCATTCTGCCAGCGTCAAACTGCAGTTGAACTTACCATAAAGTAAAAAGCAAAACTGCGTTACACTTGCATTCACGTGACGTACTGGGCAAACAGATCCTTAATATTATTATTATCATTATTACATGCAACTGTTTAACTAACGAAGCGCAAGCGTAAAGCGTGCACTCACCCCAACGACAAATCGAGACGCCGTAGCCTCGTCTCAAAGCCCTCACCAGCACAGGTACTGTAATTCATAAGCAAATTATAACAGGTGCGGCGCTGAGTGTGGTTCTATTTTTAGTCAACTCGCAAGTGCACGTACAGTGTCTAGAAACCGCGATGCATTGGAACTCCATGACCACTAACTATAAGGTTATAGGCGTAGCGGAAAATTAGTTTTCCCGCTATACTCCAACGCTCCCATGAGAGGGCGCGTGTGCGCAAACGTATAATAATAATCCGCGCCGTCCGAACGCGAAGAAGGCGGCGGTGAAGTACTGGTTTCGTATAAAGCCCTCGAATCGGGGCCACCTACTTCACCAGTCAGAGGAGCCGGGCGCGGCTCGACGCGTTTTTTCACGCCAGCTTGCTCTTCTTCGCAAGCAGCTGGTCGAAGAATTAAGTCCAGCGGTGGACCCTGTTGCTCGTTTGCTCTCGAACGCTGCTGGTATTGGAACTGAAGTTCTTAACGTCCTCCTGCAAGGGAATGCCTTCACGCCATTTATGTCCCGGTCGGCCTTTCCGCGCTTGAACTTCGACGCCACCAAGCTCGAAATTCAGCGTGAAAACGATATGCGTCTCGTACATTATTGTTGCTGGCTGGTCAGTCGCTGCCCACTATAGTATACGGAAATCAATAGGTCGATTATCGAACCTTGAGCAAGCACATGGTCTCCACGCAAATCGAGTCCACAGCAAGCCACTTTGCCGAAAGGTACACCTGATGCTCATGGACCTTTTTAAGGGGAAGAGGGACGTGCTCATTGATAAGATTGGCTTACGCGACCGACTTGGCTGTGCTTTATGGCTTGCACCACTGAGAGATCGAAGAGCGAATAGCATTGTTCGATCAAGGGGCCGCACTCGCTTCCTTTCATTGCCACACGAATTCGTACAATAGCACTTGTATATTTCTGCTATAGATATATTTTAAGAATTATATAGGCATAAGGTTATCGTGAATCGATACCTTGTGGCGACGCTTCAATGCGATTATGCTTATAACGCCAAATATTGGCTAATAAACGCTATTTTGGTGACGACAACTGTGATCAAATGAGTAAAGATGGGTTAAGAATAGATATATAAGTTCTCACTCTATATACCACCACTGTTTCCTTTAGCTGTTTTGAAGGGGAAACATGATTACAAAACAGAGCGAGCATAATTTCTACATATTTGAGCTTAGCACCGCAAAACAGCGACATGATTATGAAAGACGTATTCGGCGCAATATGTGCCGTCCAGATGATGTGATATCCCTGTGGTGTGAAAGCGCTTTCAATGAAGCCGAACACAGACAGTGACGACAGATGAGACTTCAGATAGCCTTGTAAGAAAACTGTATAGACCCTTTCAAGGTTTACAAACACAACCCCTTGATGACTTCCGGTTCTGTCCACCGATGTGCTTTATAGGCATTGGGCGACCACAAGAGCTTTAGAAAATAGCCCGCTGATTTTCTACAGTTTCCTACCCTTATTTAACAAAATAAAATAAATGTTCTTTCGAGTTTTATAAAACATTCCCTATGAATATATTTTGCGCTTAAGGGCTGAAAAAATTTTCAGGCACGACGTGCTAGAGCTACCTATTGAACGTGGATAAACTGGAAGTGTCGTGGCTGCTAAAGCTTGTTAGCCTAAAATAAGCGGACACAACCTTATGTTGGCAAGAAGGACCCGAAATCTATTACACTCGATAAGTAAATAGATTAAATTCTTAGGACTCATTCGGACTCAATCTCACCGAAATATTACAAGCCCGGACTCGGACTCGGAGTCACGCCTCGATTCTGCGTCTGAATAACTCTGAGAGAGCCGACTGATGAGTAAGATTGCCGACCTATATGGACATCGCTAGGTGATGTTATGTTAAATGTTTTCTATATAGGTCTTAATACAAAATCCGAACAACGTCAGAACACTCTTTCTTTCTTTTATTTTTCTGTTCCTGCGGCAGGTGCTTGGTTAAGGATTACGAGAAGAGGCCCTTGATGTCGGACCTGATGAACCACAAGTTCATCGCTCAGGTCCCCAAGCATCCTGAAGAGGTACGTGCAGGCGTTTGTTTTTGTATATGCATATGCATATATACATATATATATATATATATATATATATATATATATATATATATATATATATATATATATATACATATATATATATATATATATATATATATATATATATATATATATATATATATATATATATATATATATATATATATATATATATATATATATATATATGTATGTATGTATGTATATGTATATACGGTAAATCCTTGATGTACTTTCCCAATGTAAGGAACTGTAATCACCCTCAGTCTACCGCTGCATGAACATTTTGAAAGTCAGTTGTTGTCATCTACCTAAATTTATATCAAGGAATCGCAGCGCGCGATTGAACGAGCTGGACGCGATGCAGAAGGTTGTGTTCGGGCTACTATAAGCAACTGTCTGCACCAACGCCGATTCGCGAGTTTCCCACTGGTCAGCGATATCGTGGGTGTCGTTTACCAAAGTTGGAAGCCTTTCGTTTGCGTACATCAAGTGCATGTACGAAGCGCACTACGTTTAAATTGAACCATGGTGCACGCACGCAGCCTCTAATCCGGTGAATCGCCGAGACGCCTCGTTTATGCGAAGTGTAAACCCGTTGTGCGCGTAGATCCGCCAGGAGCTGGTGCGGATCCTGAAGGCGCAGCGCAAGGTGGGCTACAGCAAGCGTCTGCCCGAGGTGACCACCAAGCATGGCCAGCTCAAGACGGACCGCAAGTCCCGGCCCACGCCTATCCTCATGGACGACCTGTCCGCGCTCGAGACGCTCACCGAGGTGCGTGATTTTTATTTTATTTATTTACAACATACCGCGGTCTTGAAAAGACCAAGCAGGAGAGGCAAAAAAAATCAAGTGGGAAACACGCGTAAGCGTGATAGATGCACGATGTGCACAAAATACAAGAGGATAAGTACATTATACAGAGATGTATAGATGAGCTTAAACACAGGTTAATACGACCTGATTGTGCGAATCAGTCGCTTGCTCCGTTGAGGTCGCTCATGCGATAACAACCACTGTGCACACTGGCTATACACGCTGTGACATTTTATTGTTCCCGTATCTACATCCGCGTCACACCAAGCCAAGCGATAAGATTGCGTTTCTTTTCCAAAGGGTAACCACTACTTCCGGAGAGGCTGCTTCCGGTGAAGCAAAATACAAATAATTGAGGCAAGCAGAAAAAAAAAAAGCTGAGGATATCTACAACCGGAGCTCCACCGCGGTGGTCTAGTGGCTAAGATACTCGGCTGCTGACGCGCAGGTCGCGGGATCGAACCTCGGCTGCAGCGGCTGCATTTCCGATGGAGGCGAAAATGCTTTAGGCACGTGCGCTTCGATTTGGGTGCACGCTAAAAAACCCCAGGTGGTCGAAATTTCCGGAGCCCTCCACTACGGCGTCTCTTAATCATATAGTGATTTTGGGACATTAAACCCCACATATCAATCATTTATAGAGCCGGGTTCTTTCTAGAAGAGGATAACAGGGATATTTCAAAACAGAAGCTTTCCAAAGAAGTAAAATTCACTGAGAGGCCAGCAGGCTAGCCTGAAATTTACTAAATAACACGTAATTGTAACAAACGAATATTGTTGCCGCACCGCTTTGAAAGGGGTGACAAAAAAAGTGTCATGATTACCAATGGCATAAAAAATTTCGGATTAAGACGATACTTATGCAACACTTAGAGATAGCATACGCAATATTCATCACCAAATGCAGAGGTCAATTAGCACATTTAGTACTTTCCCTAGGCATCAAGCTTTATGAAACTTCACAAATCTTCGACAAGTAATGGTAAACGAAGGAGGGCAGTACTGGTGATACAAAAGTACAAATACGCAATGTACGCTTAAAGTACGAAATACAATTATTACACAGACAACTAGTTTTCAACGCTAACCGTGGGTGTTAAATGTATACGTAATAGACGTCGAACATGTATAACAATAGTAATATTATTGGGTCTTTTACGTCCCGAAACCACGACACAATTATTAGGGACGCCTTAGTGCAGCGTTCCGGTGATTTTAACTATATGGTGTTCCTTAACATGCACCTGAATCTCGCCTCTATCAAAGTGCGGCCGCCGTGGTCGGGATTCGATCCCGTGACCTGCGGGCGAGCAGTCGAGCGTCACAACCACTGGACCACCTTGGCGGGTGTGAAATAAGCGTAAAAGTGACAAAGCCAGTTTCAGAGCAGACGCTCATAATATTCATACATGTGACCCTCAGTATATATGTTGCAAAACTTTTGACCCGGTACACGCTGTAAAACCCGAAGACGTCATTATTATGATGAAGCGGACTTCAAGGGCGACACGCCCAAAGATCTCAGAACAGCACGTCCTAATGCTACCGTTTATTCCAGCGAAAAAAACCAAACTTACGCTACCTATTTGCGATCCATATATTATTTGACGCGAAGGTGCGTGCGCTGATGTGTTCACGAGAGTTTTATACCCGCAAGAGATTTCAATGTAGTGGATCTGCGTTTACTTATTAATTTTTTTTGTTGTCATGCACACTATGTTAATCCTTCACAACCTACATGTCAACGGACATGTAATAATAATAAGAAGAAGAATATAAAAACAATATTATTAACCTGAGTTTAATCACTCAAAACCACAATATGATTATGAGAAACGCCGTAGTGATGGGCTCGGGAAATGTCGACCAAATAGGGCTCCTTAACGTGCATCTAAATCTAATTACACGGACCTGAAACACTTTCACAACGGTCATTCCAAGTCGAACTTTCGAGTAATCATTGTTTCTATAATAAAATACCGAATTTCCACTCGCATTCATCAACAATGCAGGCTATTCTCACATGAAAACAATTTAGCACCTCTACAGAGTTTCACCGAAGTACTACCAGGGGCAGCTTGTCTTTTTGAGTAAAAGTAGCCGTTAATTGGAAGCCATGCAAAGTGTAAGGACTTTCCTTCTTTCGGTACTGACCTTCGTTGCGAGCGTGTTCTGTAGAATTATTGTATTTTTAATTGTTTCGCTTTTTGCTTGCTATGAAACTATCTGATTCAAGTAGACACTCAACATAAACATCGATAATTCGACATCAGAAAAAAAAATTATTGTTAACGTATTCGCAAATATTATTCTTTTATGTGTACTCGAAGTGAAGAGAAATCAGCAGAAAGAGAATTCAAGTTTTTTTTGTTCAGAACTGAAAGGTAGAACATAAAGAAGAAAGCAGCAAGTGACCAAAATTAAGAAATGATAGCGCAAATCAGACACTGGATATAGCCTGGAAAACGAGCAATTGTTCGCGTAGGTGTTCCGTGTCACCGATTCCAATAATCATCTATAAATGAGGGTACCGACGCTCTTCATGAGTTCGGCCGCCGCACAGATTTTCCACACGATTAATGACACTGTTTTTTTTTGCTGTCGTTTCTTTTTTCCACATACTCATTATCCTCAACTGAGCTCATATACAAGCAGAATAGGAGGCAAACCACTTATTTTTATAGTTTCTGTGCCTGCGGCGCTTCACATTTTGGTTTTTGTCTCACCGTTTACGTCACGAGTCTTGTCTGCTGAACCGCTTGTGTAAGAAAGACTAACTCGTTAACACGATCCACCGTATTTCGGCGCCGTATGAGGAAAATGTTATGGTTACATGGCGGTGGTAATCAGCCTGAATACCTCTCTTTAGTGATTTCTCTGGTTTTAGGAGTTCTTTCCTGCTGGCACTAGCAATCGTGGCACCGTAATAGCACTTTGTACGATTGCGATGCTCCGAGCAATAACAAAACACGGTAATCAAGTCATTTTGAGGAACGTTAACAAGCAACACGTCGCATGAGGTATTTCTTGTGACCTATTCTTCTTTTTTCTTGTATATAAATCGTGTTCTACGGCGTTTTCTAGACGCCCACGAGCAGCCTGTGTTATAAATGAGACTTTTGTGTTTTGCAGCCCGTGCGCCAAGCTCCTATAAATGGGCTCTGTTCACATGCATCGTTCAATGAGAGAACATGGGGTACACAGCACAGTATCATTGTGGATTTATCCAGAGTTCTCGCCAAAAATAATTAAATAAACGCGCGCCCCCCCTCTCTCTGTCTGTCTGTCTGTCTGTCTGTCTGTCTGTCTGTCTGTCTGTGTGTGTGTGTGTGTGTGTGTGTGTGCGCGTGTGTGTGTGTGTGTGTGTGTGCGCGTGTGTGTGCGCGTGCGTGTGTGTGTGTGTGTGTGTGTGTGTGTGCGCGCGTGTGTGCGCGCGCGCGCGTGTGTGTGTGTGTGTGTGTGTGTGTGTGTGTGTGTGTGTGTGTGTGTGTGTGTGTGTGTGTGTGTGTGTGTGTGTCAATTTCAATTTAATATACCAGGGTACAAGATTAGCGGAGTATTAAACTGTTCTATTTCATTAGGAAGAAAAATACCATTATGTTTCTTCATCGCTATCCTCTTAACTACATACTTCCGCCGCTCAAACATAAAGCTCGACTGTCGTTCTACTGATCGCACACGTCTGAATAAAACGTAGCAGTGCGCTCGAGAAACGACCCAAAATAAAAGTTCAAAAAATAAGAAAAAAAGAAACTAGCTTTGGTTCATTCGCCATCCACATCACATCCATATGTCGATAGGGCAAGCGCCTTTCATGACGCGGTTGCTTTGTTGGTGCTGCTTAGTAAGAGCTGTTCGATTGCCTCGAGACGTAAGAACGAAGAGGCTTATGCTATCGCTTGTCCCCGTATTTCTGCAGGAGATCATCGTCGACCAGCTGTACCAAAGATTCATGCGGGGCCAGATATACTCATACATCGGCGACATACTGCTCGCCATGAACCCATTCCAGAAGCTTCCTATCTACTCCGAAGAGGTGAGGACGTACCTTGTTATCACTATGAACGTCATGCAATAAAGCGAGAACACTGTAGTTTGGGAAACGCTGTCTGTACGCGCTAACGAGATTGCATGCTGTTCCAACGTTGCAGGTCTCGTTGAGGTACCGGAATCGTGCCAAACTGGACAACCCGCCACACATATTCGCCGTCGCAGATGCTGCCTACCACAGCATGTTGCATCAGAAGAGAAACCAGGTGGGATTGAGAATTTCCGCATTTGTTGCTTATGGAAAATCTATCGTGCTGAAATCCAATATAACAAATTATTTCGGCAGTGCCTACCCGGTAGCGACGTTGACTTGCTGAATAGAGAAAGTAACGTATTTCTTGTCTCTGCAGTGCATTGTCATCAGCGGAGAAAGCGGAGCCGGCAAGACGGAGAGTGCCAACCTCCTGCTCAGGCAACTTGTGGCTCTTGGAAAGGTGCGTAAACAAAAAGGAGAAAAAAATGAAGCAACCGTTGCCCATAGGCTCAAGCACACCTGCAGTCGTTCAATGGCTTTATGTATTAACACTCGCAACTTTAAATATTTGCACCAATTAGCAATAAAGTTAGATTGATTTAATTTGTATTCGTCACTAGTCATGTTATATGAGAGGCAATCGCCGGGCTAATTCCAAGTGCTGACGTGCTGGCCCCTCGAACTGCACCACGAAGTCAAGAACAAATGAGCGTTGGTCCTTTTGGTATGCAGGCTTTGTCACTGTAGGACAAGCCTTCGCCTCATGGTGGAAAACTCTCGTCATCCCCTGATCGGCACCTGCAACTACTTGCTTATATACACTAGCCGCTGGGTTTTGAAAATTACGAGGCTTTTCCACGCGCACCACACAGCCAAGGCTGTGGAAGGGGCGGGACCTCTCTCATAATGTGACGCAACTCTGCAGTGCCGCACCGCTTTGCTTAGAGATGTTTCTCGAGTTCGCTCGGTATTCCGTCCATGACTTTATCGGCCATACGTCGGCGCGGCGGCGGCTGTTCGAGGGGGGATAGGTGGTGCGTGGGCGGCATTTTTCGTTGCTTGTTTCTACTTTAGGCCAGCTTCCGTCGCGCATGCATGCTTGGCGCCTGGTTTAACGTAGCTGTTTGAAATCGGAGGTGCGCGCTTTCTTGAGCGCTATATTGTGACATTAAAGGGGCCCTGAAACACTTCTTGAATTGACCACGGAATGGATTCTCTAAAAGAGCCCATTGACTCACGAATTCAACGCCGCAAAAAATTTAAGAATCGGTCCAGTACGAGTGGAGTTAAAAAGATGTGTCGCACGCTGCTATCACGTTTTCTCTCATCTCGTCCCGGCGAAAGCGCTGAAGACTAAGCAGGGAGGAATGGCAGGGGCAAAGAAAATACGTCACGCACTCCTCATGATTTTGAGCACTTTTTTTTTTCTTCGAACACGCGGCTTTTCCCTTGTGATCGCGCGTGCACGGGTGGACAAGTCGCGGCCTCCCGTGGAGATCTCTGTAACGACCGAGCGCGCGATGTTCAAATCAGTCAGTGGCTGATAGATTGCCTTTTATGCGCGATTTTTGAGCGTATTTCGTCATTTCTAGAGAGAAGAAAAAGCAATTTTTAGTTGACTTTGATTATTGTAAACTTCAGGCCGTGTGCTGTGCTCTAATATTTTGCTCGCGTGTTCTCGGAAGCCTCTACTACCGATCGGCAGCGTTTGCTGACCATGCTCAAAAAGTGTTGCAGGGCAGAAATATATAACATGTGTGTTATAATGAACAGCGGCCGAGCACACTGCTTCGCTAATGATTGCTGTAGTCATGCCATGCTACGTAATGCTTTTCTGTGCAACGCAGTGCCATACTATGCTATACTATGCTATCCTAATCTATACTATGCTGTGTTGTGCTTTGTTGCGCTATGTCATTCTGCGTTGTGTTATTTTGTGTCATGCTGAGCTATTCCAAGCTGTGCTGTGCTAACTTAAGCAGCGCAACTTTAAAAAAATGCGACGTTACGAATTATTCACGAACAGCGCGACACTTACGGTAACAGCCGGAAAGATATACTAAGCCAGGAAAAACTGAGCACCAGTCTTCTGCTGAGGCAGAAAACCCTTTTCATGCTCCTCTCATGCCCTTCCCATAAAATCGATTATGATTATAGGCGTCACTCCATACTTCACACAAAGGAGCCAACTCGTTCTTTGTCATTCTTGAAAAGCGTTTTGCAAGTGGTGATTCTCCGAATGACGCGCTGAGGATGACTCGTTTTCCTCGGCGCCGAGCAGGCTACCAACCGGAACCTGGAGGACAAGATCTTGCAGGTGAACCCCATCATGGAGGCGTTCGGCAACGCGAAGACGGGCATCAACGACAACTCGAGTCGATTTGGAAAGTTCCTAGACCTCACCTTCACCGAGCAGGGAAAGATCACCGGGGGTGCGTACATTTCAATGCACGAATCTTTAGGCCGGCCTACCGGTCTATCTTAGACATTAAGTCGGTCTATCACAAAGCGCGTCGAATAGAATAAACAAATGCACGCTGCGCGCGTCAAACTCATCTGAGAATGTAGACTGGATTAGGCAAAGAAGACGATGTTGCACGTGTATAGACTTTTGCAATAAACTTGACTGACAGTTGGAACGTTCTAGGAACGGATAAATCGTTGCTGATGCTAGCTTGCTTTCCTGGAGTAATTAATCGCTTGGCTTGAGCTGAACTCCTGCTTGATTCAGAACTCTCGTGCTTCGATGCGGAACAAACTTATTCTGCTCTGATGTAGAGAGAATGAAGCTAGATTTACAGGTCTCAAAAATGCGGGCCTAACTTGAGAACAGAAAAACATTCTACCGACACTTCATTTGTATATGTATCATATTTACGAGGACACTTGCGTTCGATATCATTTTGATTTATACTCCTGTTGCATAGTTATCCGTTCCTCCGTGCGCATTCATTTCTTAAGAAGTTAGCAAGAAGTGAAGTACACGTTCATTCTGTCAATTGAATTATCCAGGCGCTTCAATGAATGGCGCCTGAAGAAAACACTTGACCGATATGCGCAGGATGTGTTTAGTGGTCCGCAATGTTTTAGCCCGTCCAGGCTAGTAAACTATTGGTGATGCGTGGTGGGGGGGGGGGGGGGAGGCAGGAGAGCGCAATGTCAGCCCATCATATTGGCATAATGGGAGGCGGAGTGCCATGACATGGGGGGAGAGGCGCACAGTCGGCCTTGCACACTGACATAATAGGGAGGGGGGCGCTGTGACAAATCCCCCCTCTGAAGGGAAACCATACGCGACCCTATGACTGGCAATGTGTACACATTATTGAACTTTCGGTTGGATTAAGTGTTAAAGAGACCCCAAAGTGAAACAATGAGTCTACAAAGATATATAAATTGTACAGTGAGATCTCTAATGTCGTAAATTTAACCATTATATCCTTACTAACTGCGGAGAAAATTAAGGTCAAAGTTTAACTTTTGAATTTCCCGCGGCATCTGCACGCACGACGTCTGTGATTTCAAACGGTATTTCTCGCATTCCGGCGACATTGGCTTAATGACATCTCTTAATGTTTGGCATGTTACGTCTATGGCCCCCTCGCAGTACGAGGTGCTTCATTTTCACCGATTATCAACTACGAATGAACAAGTAGACCCCGTCGAAATCTATGAAGTCACGGCGTTTAGTGCGGGTGTTTGATAGTGGCATCGCCACCAACATTTTCGTTGCGTGCGTTTTCCTGCTTACGAAGCGCCATCTCGTGGTATGAGTGGTGTTTTCGGTATTGTGAATGTGTAACTTAATAATGCGCGAGAGATCGTTCTTTACTTTAGTCTCCCTATTGGGTAAAGTAAAACTTCTTCTTTTTCTTGTGTCTAGGTAAACTATCGGTCTACCTCCTGGAGCAGTCTCGGGTGGTGTGGCAAGCACCGTGAGTGTTTGATTTCCGTAACGCAGGCGTTTAAGGCAACTATACTGCGAATGAAGAGCAAGAGACGTGTCGGTCTGTGCAAAGAACCGTGAGAATGCTCCGTCTACTTGCAGGCAAGAGCGAAACTTCCACATTTTCTACTACCTATACGACGGGCTGGCTGACATCAGGCAGCTCGGAAACTATTACCTCGACACCACCGGCAAGAGGCAGCACAGGCAAGTCTCCATTGCTATAGCGGTTGCATTCGAAGAAAGTACGCGCAACACTGCGAAGTTCGCTGTGGTGCTCCGAGTCGCAATTCCCAGATCAGCGACTGAATACATAATTCTCTACCTTCGACTGAATACATAGTTGAATACATAATTCTGTGCCTTCTTCTACAGAGTGCCGATGTGGATTTAGAAAATGACAAAAAAGAAAGCTTAGCGTCATGAAATAAAATGCCCATACGAGTAAATGCATGAAAACGGGCAGTATGAACGCAGAAAAGATTAAAAAATGAAACTCATTGTGACGTGCCACCGGTTAACTAAAGGAGGGAGGCGAGGATCCACACACTTAACGCCTGAGGTCAGTTCTGAATGAAAGGTGGAAAAGCGCCTTAACGCAACCGCGAGACACTGCACAGTGCTTTTCGCGTGTTCTTGCGCAGACATTATTTGAAAGCGTAAAGGTGTTCACACAGTTTCTTCTCTATCAAAGCATGTCAGCGTCGACAAGTGCAACCCGTTCACGGTGCGCCACGCACACTGCGGTCACGCTTGCGGTGGGCTACAGTGTTATTTTTTCTCGCCCAGACAGCGTACGTGTCACGCGTGTCATGCTCACAAACCGTGGCAAGAGCAACGAGCTGCCGAGATAGAACGAGAAGGCGCGTGCGCGCGTAATTGAGAGTCCTTGAAGGTGCCTGCTATACAAAAGAACGTCGAGCACGTCTTCGTCGACGTGCAGCGAATGACGTTTCGGACTTGAGCTGGCATGAAAATCCGTGCTTTCTCCCCGCAGGTACCTCAACGGAGCGCCCTCGGACAAGGAAACCGCGTCCACACACGTCGACAGGCTGAACAACATCAAGCAGGGCTTCCAGCTGCTCGGCTTTCGGTCGGCCGTAAGTGCAGCCACGCACCAAGGCGCGCAATGAACGCGAATAGCGATAACCAGGCCACACGTGCAATTCTCGACTCTATCGCCCCCGTGCGGTTGCTCTGGCAGTGATAGAGCGCTTCGTATCGTGCGCTTCCGCCCGGGTGCCCTCTCGTGAGGCGCGCTTAGGGCACGTTTGCGCGGACGCACGCATAGCGCCTGCAACGGACCGCTAGACACATCTCCCCTATAGTTAAGAGGCTATTAGGAGCGCTTTGCTTATCCTCATCACTAATGGATATGGCTCTGCTAAACGAGATCATTTGCATGACCTTGTATCGTGACTGCATTTTTAGATCCAACTGTTTAAAACGAAGAGTACTTTATAAAAACGGCGATAAATTAGCAGAACTGTGTAGCCGCAGTTAAGCTGAAATGCGTGAGAGTAGATCACACTAGTAAAACGTGAAAGAGAGCAGCGGCCGATTTAGGGTACCATCATGGGTGTGAGGTGGCTGTTCGCGGCAGTCTCAGTTCCGGCTTACGTGCCGGCATGTTTCAATTCGTAGGAGGAGGAAAGAATAGTGAAGAGACTCGCCACTTTTGTAACTATTGTGCAGTGTTAGGGGCAGCTGTAAAGACAAAAGGAGGGGGGGGGGGGCGTTGTATAGGAATAAAAGGGAGAATACAAGCATAGGTGAGTGATTCAGAGGTGCTCGCATGCAGGGCTTTTTGTGCTGCTGAGCTGTGAGGTCAGGCTGCCAAAAGCTTTTGTCCTGCCAAAGGCCAAAAATAATGTCTTTTTTTTTCCTTCTTAATCTCCTCATTTTCCAACGTCTTCTTTCACGGCGGAATGGATCAGGAGACGGACACCATCTACCGCATCCTGGCAGCCATCGTGCATCTGGGTGACGTAGAAGTGCGCAAGGCGGAGACCACGTTCCAGAACGACACGTGCATCATCGTCAACGCCGAGAAGATCCCTATTGGTGAGCGATAAAATGGAGCGCTACAATGTCTCGACGTTTTTTTTTTCTTTTTGTTTTTCTCATTCGTCCCATCTCCACTGCACGGCTCAGCTACGTCGGCCGACGGCAGACCATGGTTACGCATCACGGAACGCGGTCCACACGCCATACATTCGCACGTCTAACGTAGTGCTTCCAGCTTTGGTGCGAGCTCTCGCTCAGCACCGAGCACGTGCTAGCATTCGTTGATATGAAAAGCACGTTTTGCTTTCGCGATATGCTGGTTCACTTTGGTAACGGCCCTTCTACATCTTCATCGCTTTGCAACTCGTTAACGTGTTCAGCCAAGCGAGACGGACTAATCCGCTGCAGTAGCGCGAAACGTCCTCGTTTTCTTTGCCGTCTTCGAACTATGCCGTCTTCGAACTAAGTATAAAACAAAGGAGCGAAACTTGTGCACAACGCTTCTAAACTTACAGTCAGCTAATCGTGCTAGTGCATTCCAAGGCAATAGGAAACTGGGCCTCGTTAACATTACCAACCCGAACTAAATTGCAACGCGTGGCTTTATAGTTTACACTGGAGATAAGTGGTTGCGTTAGCTCAAGATGACTCCTTGGCTGTTCTGATCGTTGCCACGTCGATTTGACGGAGGAGCTGGTGTTGCCGTTGTGGGACAAACATGTCTCTGAATACAACAGCGGCGACCTCTACTAAACGTCTTCAAACCTAGTTCCAGAACTCCCTACTCGGCTTTGTCGGGTCTGTATGCGTTTTTATAGGAAGGCGGTGTAAAGGCAGGCACCCACGTGTAGGGGCTACTGGTGTTGCAGTGAGCAAGCTGTACTGTGCGGCTTCAATAAAAACGCACGCGCACATACAAATACGTAACGGTACACAGAGTATGGCCGTATTCTGTATTACACCTTTTTTTTTTTTTGCGCGCGCGCGTTGCATTCATACTATATAGAACTATGGAAAATAGAACGTCGAGCGCGCGAGCTGCAGACTACGGACATGATCAGAAGCATGGCGCATTGTGCTCTTTCACACTGGTGCATCTTGTGATGCAAAGGCTGTATATCTTTGCTACTTTCCTGCTACTTCATTGCGAACGGCGGTGCGCGTTACGGTGGCAGCCGTCGTTGCATTTTCGCAAGCATCACTGCCAAATGATAAGAGGGTGATGATCAATAGCGACATCGTGATATTGTTTCCCAGGCATAAGACTACGTAAATCTCTTCTGTTTCTTAAACATTCTTGCAAAAGTTTTGAGGGCGAGTAAAAACGCTTGTACTCTCCACTGAGTTTGTAGCACCCAACCCTTTCATTTAAATTATTCTAACTGGATCCTTGAAATTTCTGACACCCAATTTATACAGCTAGCGCTATATGTAACAGCAGCTTGTGAAAAAAATTCACGGCATATCAACGGGCTGAATGATGACGAGTTCAGCGAAGCGTCCGTCCGTCCGTGCGTTCATCCGTGCTTCCGTCCGTCCCTGTGTCCGTCCGTGTGTCTGTCTGTTTTTCTGTATGTCTGTCTGGCGACAAGCACGAGCCGCCACGGCCCTCCGCGCCAGCTTCGTCCATGCCCCACCAACGATACGACATGTACGGCGGCAATCTTGGAGACTGAGAGGCACTCCTTCTCCGCTCATCCATGCACAGCCCACGCAGAAGCCAATCGGAGAGTAGCGGTGTAGCACCGTTAAGGATATCCTAACTCAACTGAAGTTTTTATGTACTTCTATATGAGACAGCGCCATCTATTACGCTGTTCGGGAGATACTGCCGGTTACGCCTGACGAGCGGGACAAGGCAAGAAGAGAGGAGCTTCGCTCCTAAAACCACTTAATCAGGGCATCCTCAGAAGCCGAGGCGCGGAGCCTTAATCTGTTTATATATATATATATATATATATATATATATATATATATATATATACATACACTGCACCTTGCCTGGTGTAAGGAATGGACACAAAAGTGCTGTGTTTAGGTACGATTTGTGCTAAAAGGACTTGCAAGCGCCGAGGAACGCCAAACCGAAACTAAAGAAGACGAGCGGAGGGCAGGTGGCACGAAGGCGATAACAAGAAATGAAAAAGAAGAGGAGAGGAAGAAGGAACGTGGAAAAGGGAGCTCGAGCGTGGAGGCCACGAAAGCAGACGAAGCTGTGCGCCGCTCGAGAGGACGAGTTACTGGGAGCGTTCCTGAGCCGGACGTGGGACCCGTACGTGTCGGCCAGGTCGAGCTCCGGCGTGTCCGTTCGGGGTCGAGTCCGCCGGCCGGTACAAGGTGCAAGGACGGGGCCTGCTGAACGGCTCCTGCCTGGGTGCAGTGGCCGGGAGCAGGTTCGTGGGCGAGGCCTACCGGGCGTGGTCCTCGTGAGCCGGGGCCTGACCCTGAACCTCAGGAGTTCTGCTGGCCGCGACGTCTGACTAAACGGCGCTGCACACGGTAGCGCATCCGTGTGCCGTAAGCCGTTCCAGCCGCTCCAGCCGTGCCACCTTTGCCCTCGCGCACGTCGACAATCGCATCATGTCGGGACGACGGGGACCCAAACTGTGAGGCAGCGTTTTCCTTTTGCGAACTGAGAACTCTACGCGCTGGACTCGGAGTAAGCGTAGCCGCGAGCTCTCCGCATGCTAGAGGTCTGACTCTCATACATGTTGCGTGACGCTTGGCGTGTAGGGTTGGACATATAGTTTTATTTTCACCTGCCACTTCGTTCTCTAGTGTATAATATAACGCTTCTTTTGTTCGCATCCATTGTTGATGTGAATCCTTTTTCGTCCGCTGTCAACAAACAGTGACGAACGTCCTTAACCATCACAATTTCTGGCGTCCGCGAGACAGGACTAAGCTCTCGCCTTACATCTGAGAGCCTCACGTTGTTTGTGTGTGGCGGACGAGAATGGACGACAAGAGGAAGCTAGTTGAGCTAGGGAAGGAGATGGGGCTGAGTGGTGAGGCTTTGCTGGCATGGGTGAGCGCTGAGGAAAAAGAAATGAGGGACCAGAGAGCGAAAGATCGAGAGGAGGCACGGCTAGCAGCACAGGTGGAGCATGAGCGTGAAATGGCTCGCATGGAGGCAGAAAGGCTCCTGCTCGAGGAGCGACGTCGCAGCCCACACAAAATGATTCCGCCCTACAATGAGAGTAGGGACGAACTGGATGCGTACATCCAGAGATTTGAGAGGGTTGCCATGAGCCAAGGCTGGCCAACCGACAAGTGGGCCCTGTCACTGAGCTTGTGTCTAACGGGTGAAGCCTTGACCGTGGTAGGACGGATGTCTGCAGAAGACTCTACGGACTACGCAAAGCTCAAGCAGACGCTCCTCCAGCGGTTCCGTTATACAGAGGAGGGATACCGCACGAAGTTTAGGGATGCCCGGCCCGAGAATACTGAGACAGGTCGACAGTTCGCGGGACGTCTCTGTGGATACTTCGACCATTGGCAGGAGCTGGCGAAGACTCCCAAAACATATGATGCACTGCGAGACAAGATGGTGTCCGAGCAATTCCTCAGGCGGTGTGACGAGAAGTTGGCTGTCTTCTTGAAGGAGCGAGGATGTCATAACCTGGACACGTTGGCAACGACGGCTGATCAATATTTGGAAGCTCAGGGAATTGTGAATCTCGCTAGAGGAAAAGACGAAAAAGGGAAACCGATGGCTACAGCTAAAGTTGACACTGTCAGCGAAAGCAAAGGAAAACCGCTTTGTTTTCTGTGCAACAAGCCGGGTCATCGAGCTTCCGATTGCTGGACAAAGTCTCGAGCGCCCAAGTCGACGTCGTGCTGGATCTGTAAGAAGTCAGGGCACAGATCCGATAGTTGTCCCTCAAACTCGGGAAAACGTAGAGAGGCATCATGTTCCGTCTTGGGGTACCAGAAAGCGCAGCATGAGAAATCAATGGAAGATGCGCCTGACAATCAGGATGAGAAACATCGGCATGACATGTGTGATGGGACCCAAAGCAACGCAACTTGCGACAACGGGTCAAAACAAATGCCAACTGTAAAGGGCTATCTCGAAGGGAAGCGGGTTACCGTATTGCGGGATACCGGTTGCAATACAGTAGTGGTGAAACGATCGCTAGTTCCTGACTGCAACTTGACTGGCAACACCCGTACCGTTCGCTTATTGGATCGATCTGCAAAAGTCTTACCAGAAGCAGAGGTGTACATAGATTCTCCGTTTTTCAGAGGTCAGGTGCTTGCTGTTTGTATGGAGAATCCATTGTATGAAGTCGTGCTTGGCAACATTGCGGGTGTACTGTCAGCTGCCCGACCAGCCCCGAAGCAGCCAGCAGGACGTCCAAAACTAGCACAGATTCACCATGATCCAGTATGCACTGAAGAAGAACCTGAAGATGCAACCTCATCAGATAGAAGACGACAAGATGACATGTCGGCGGCTGCAGGAAAAGAAAGGAAAAAGCCCAGTGAACTGATTGTTCCTCGGATCCAACCCCTGGATATCAGCCGGGAAGCGCTAAAGAATTTACAGCACGCAGATCCCACGCTGGAAACCTGCTTCGCCGCATTGGGGAAGGTCATATCTAAGAAGCCAGCAGTCACTGAGTTTGTGCTGGTACGCGACATTCTTTTCCGGCGCCACCGCACGGCAGAAAGGCGAGACTTGGAGCAACTTGTAGTACCCAAGGATCTTCGGAACACCGTAATGAAGATGGCTCATGAAGGCCTTCTGTCTGGTCACCAAGGGCAAAGAAGGACAACAGACCGTGTCCTTACAGAGTTTTATTGGCCGGGTGTACGGGCTGATGTGATACGGTTCGTGAAGTCGTGCGACGTATGTCAGAGGACCGTGCCTAAACACCTCGTCGGACGAGTTCCATTGGGAAATATGCCTATCATAGACACACCTTTTCAGCGGGTCGCCATCGATATTATTGGCCCGCTGTCACCAACGTCATCCAAGGGCAACAAGTATGTCTTAACGATGGTAGACTTCGCTACGCGTTACCCGGATGCGGTGGCACTACCGAGCATCGAGACAGAGCGCATAGCGGAAGCACTAGTAGAGATGTTCTCCCGCGTTGGGGTGCCCCGTGAGATAGTGAGCGACCGTGGAAAGTCGTTCACCTCGAGTCTCATGCAGGAACTCGGTCGGCTACTTTCATTTCGTCAGCTACCCACAACGCCTTATCACCCCATGGCCAACGGACTTGTGGAGAGATTTAATGGAACTCTCAAACAAATGGTTCGCCGCATGTGTCAAGAACGGCCGCGACATTGGGACAGGTACTTGGCTCCCCTGCTCTTTGCATACCGTGAAGTTCCCCAGACGAGCCTTGGATTCGCGCCGTTCGATCTCCTCTACGGCAGATTTGTACGCGGGCCAATGTCGATCCTTAAGGAACTGTGGACAGGGGCCAACATCGATCCTGAAACGAAAACAACATACGAGTATGTTATAGATCTCCAGGAGCGACTGCAAGACACCTGCAAGGTAGCGCACGAAGAACTCCTGAAGGCGAAAATGACACAGAAGAAATATTTCGATAGGAAAGCAAGAGTTCGACACCTATCACCCGGAGACAAAGTATTGCTGTTGCTACCATCAGATAAGAATAAATTGATCTTGACATGGAAGGGACCCTTCACAGTGCTTGAAAAACGCAGTGACTATGACTACGAGATAGATCTCGGAACACGGAGAAGTCTTTTTCACATTAACCTTCTCAAGAAATACCACGAAAGGGAGCCTATTGCTTACTGAGTATGACTTTGTGGTTGAGTACATTAAGGGCTCTGACAACGTAGGTGCCGACTACCTCAGCCGCATTTCACTTCTCCGCTGGTTAGCGTTTAGTGGGGGCACGATTTCTTTTCATGTTAATTCACCCTTTCTCTAGCGGAATGAACTTCTGTAAATGTTTTTTTTTGCTATGTTTTCGCTTTTGGGTACTCCACCTCGCGCGCTTGTGAAAAGTTGTTTTCCCCCTAAACAACTTTCTTGAGCAGGGGGATATTTGTAAGGAATGGACACAAAAGTGCTGTGTTTAGGTACGATTTGTGCTAAAAGGACTTGCAAGCGCCGAGGAACGCCAAACCGAAACTAAAGAAGACGAGCGGAGGGCAGGTGGCACGAAGGCGATAACAAGAAATGAAAAAGAAGAGGAGAGGAAGAAGGAACGTGGAAAAGGGAGCTCGAGCGTGGAGGCCACGAAAGCAGACGAAGCTGTGCGCCGCTCGAGAGGACGAGTTACTGGGAGCGTTCCTGAGCCGGACGTGGGACCCGTACGTGTCGGCCAGGTCGAGCTCCGGCGTGTCCGTTCGGGGTCGAGTCCGCCGGCCGGTACAAGGTGCAAGGACGGGGCCTGCTGAACGGCTCCTGCCTGGGTGCAGTGGCCGGGAGCAGGTTCGTGGGCGAGGCCTACCGGGCGTGGTCCTCGTGAGCCGGGGCCTGACCCTGAACCTCAGGGGTTCTGCTGGCCGCGACGTCTGACTAAACGGCGCTGCACACGGTAGCGCATCCGTGTGCCGTAAGCCGTTCCAGCCGCTCCAGCCGTGCCACCTTTGCCCTCGCGCACGTCGACAATCGCATCATGTCGGGACGACGGGGACCCAAACTGTGAGGCAGCGTTTTCCTTTTGCGAACTGAGAACTCTACGCGCTGGACTCGGAGTAAGCGTAGCCGCGAGCTCTCCGCATGCTAGAGGTCTGACTCTCATACATGTTGCGTGACGCTTGGCGTGTAGGGTTGGACATATAGTTTTATTTTCACCTGCCACTTCGTTCTCTAGTGTATAATATAACGCTTCTTTTGTTCGCATCCATTGTTGATGTGAATCCTTTTTCGTCCGCTGTCAACAAACAGTGACGAACGTCCTTAACCATCACACCTGGCATAGCCTCGTTCTTAATGAGCGTTACGTTAGCTTTGTGTTAGCTTTCTTCGCAAGCATCCCGTAGCCGTGCACGAAAGGCCCGCCCAGAGGGTAAATATATTAACAAATTTGTTCACATATTGTTAAAAGCACATTGCGAAATATGGCAGCGGTTAACCAATGGGAATTAACAAGATTATGCATTTCCGTGCTTTTGTTTGTTTGTTTGTTAATACTGTCAACCCCAAGCTAAGCTTTTTACAAGAGTGGAAAACACATGTTTCAAGAGGACAAGTAACAGCTGAAGCTTCTTTCTAATAAATTCTAGCAACTAGTTTGCGCCATCTGGAGAGGCTTTCACTTGCAACAATAATCATCGATTGACCGAGCCATTGAACAACAGGCTTTATACACCCCTGCATAGGCATTTTTTCCGCAAAAGGCACCTTTCGAGCCTTTCGCTGCGTCTCCTAGGACAATTGTAAATTGTCTTGAATAAAGCATGAATGAATGAATTAATGAATGAATGAATGACCTGACTTTAAGGCTTGTCTTTCCACACACCCGTCCATTCTACCTTGCCAACAGTTGCGCAGCTGCTGGGACTTCAGGGCAACGCTCTGCGGGACGCGCTCACCTCGAGCAGCATGGTGATGCGCGGCGAAGTGATCACGCGATGCAACTCGGCACAGGAGGCCGAGTGCGCGAGGGACGCCATGGCAAAGGCCCTGTACGCGCGACTCTTCGACTGGATCGTCAACCAGATCAACCGGCACCTGGCTTTGGGACGCATCGCCATGTCAGTATTGCGTTGATGTTCAGTTGCTGTGAATTTCAAATTGCTTCCTTTTCCCTTCCTGTCTACTACCTAAATGTGGACAATGCGATGCCACACAGTGCTTAACGACGTGATAAAGGAGTGCAACTCTGCAAAAACCATAAGCTAAGGCAAATAGAATGTGGAAACATACAATATATCAAATTTCAGTAAGTAATATGGCTATGGTCGTTATCGAGACTGACTAAAATGCTGAGGATATGCACTTGCTGAGGATATGCCATTCGTCTGAATTCATTTCCACTTTGAAGGACGCTTTTCGAAGGCGACAAAGTCAGAAAAGGCTATTTTTACTGGTCACAATACTACCACATGTCCACTCCTCTTCTTAACTAACCATTCCTTATCCAATCCAACGTATTTCGTGTCAAAATTTCATTTTTGGAGCCTGTACTACGACGTCAGGTGTGATGCCCTCAGTGAGTTCTAAAAATATACTTATATATCTGAGCGTACACATGACCAACGTATGACAAGATTTCAAATTAATACTTAACCTCTTCTTTTATGCGACCCAAGCTACGACAGTAGCAGTACTCGCAAGCTCCGATTCACACGATTCCTTCAGTGCCCACAAGTGCTTAATGCACGGAATACCAACCATTCAAACTTTCTTCAACTCATTGCAGCGGTCTTCCGTTGTCCGTGGCCTTGCTAGACATCTTCGGCTTCGAAGACCTGCAGAAGAACTCGCTGGAACAGCTGTGCATCAACATCGCCAACGAGCAGATCCAGTTCTTCTTCAACCAGCACGTGTTCGCGTGGGAACAGGTGAGGAAGCAACACTCGTGGCACTAGCGAGATGTCTGTAATGAGGATGACCATCGCGCGCGCATCGATCGCATCTCATGCAGCAAGAATACTTGAACGAGGGCCTCAGTGTGCAGCCGGTATCGTTCGGCGACAACCGTCCCGTGCTGGACATGTTCCTGGGCCGACCGCTCGGACTGCTGGCGTTGCTCGACGAGGAGAGCCACTTCCCAAACGCGACAGACCAGTCCCTCATCGGTGAGTGCGAATGATTGGGGCTAAACCAGCGTGGACGCCATCGGTGCAATTTCTGTTGAGCATTGATCATTTTAAGAACCCCAGAACAAGGGCGTAGTTCGTCGAGAACGGCGTATGAACGCCACCCCTTCCCGCCCTGCTGTGCCTATGGCCCAGATATACAACGGCCCCTACTAGCATCAGCCATAGTTTTAAAATATGCCGATGCGCCTTATGACGATGCGACCGAATGCATTCTGCTGACTAATGGATGGAGCAAGTCATACTATTTCTCGTGTTCGTAATCACATGTTTTCATACCTACATCTTTCAATCCTCTTTCGTCACTTTTTTTAATGCCGTCGCGTTCAGCGAGCTGTCGTGCGGTTGACGGCGGTAGCGTGTAGCCGCACTCGCGCGCTATGTCAGCCGCTTGCTGCAGGAGGTCCTCCAGTTCGGACAGCTCCTTTTCTGTACCGGAGCTATTGCGGAGCCAGTAATCACAATTTTTGTCAATGGGAAAGAACAGTACATAACAAAGTCCAATACGAGACGCACTTACCTCTTAATTTTCTTCTTCTGATCTCGCTAAAAACGCAGGAGGATTAAGTTGAGCCTTTCCCTGACACTGCGAATGCTGAAGCACCTGCCAAGCACCTCGGAGAGCCGATCGGCTATCTTCAGCCACCTCGCAGGGTCAAGAAAAGGATTTACATATAACACCTCCTTTACTAGAGCGATGTCATCGCTGAGCGTAAATCGCTTGCCCCCAGACATCGATTCCGCTGATGACAGAGCGAATGTCAAACAACGTGTTCGCCGTTGGCGCTTCTGCTTCGGCTTGTCTTGACTCGGTGGCTTGCTCCAGGCCGTGAACGTAAAGCCTATCCGGCGAGTAGTTTACGTTACGTAAAGGTTCACGTTCCGTAAAGACTCGCGCATCCGCAGATTCTATCCGGTATCCGGTAACACGGTAACGTAAAGAAGTATACGTACAAGCTAAAACTCTCTATTGAGTAGTAGCCTCCCCGTGGACATCTGCTTCTTTCTCTTTATTGATACATTATAACTTCTTGCGTTCCGCTTAATCAGGCAGAATACAAGAGAAGGCAAGCGGGTTAGGGGGAGACAGAAAGTTAGGTGGGCAGATGAGATTAGGAATTTTGTCGGTATAAAACGGCAGCAGCAAGCACAGGACCGAGTTGACTGGCGAAACATGGGAGATGCCTTTGTCCTGCAGTGGACGTAGTCAGGCTGGTAGGGGTGGTGGTGGTGGTGGTGGTGTTGGTGGTGATGATGATGATGATGATGATGAGATGATGATGACGACGTTTGAAGGAAAGAATCTGGGGAAGAAATTCAAACTAGAATGTTGTACAACAGTTTGCAGAACGTCTGATTAAGCACTTTTCCTACCAAGTCCACTATACCAGTGCATTTCTGCTTGCTGCAGATGCACGCGAAATACAGCAGTATATCACGCAGCATGCCCTTGCGCACCCCGACTTCAATGATATCTAACTGACCAAGAATGCTGCTTCTTGAAAGGCAGCAGTTCGGCATTAACGTGCGCAACTACGGTCGGTTACTTCCGTGTTTATCATATATGAGTGGCGTGTTGCTCGCCGCTCTCATGGTAGTTAAAAAGTCTGAAAATGCGGTATCAATTAGTGCTGGCAGCCAGTGGAGTATTTTTAAATCGCTCATTGAATTGACGTCACTTCCGTTTTCTTTTCTCCTGAGTGCAGACAAGTTCCACAACAATATCAAGTCCAAGTATTACATCCGACCAAAGTCCAACGCCCTGCAGTTCACCATCAGGCATCATGCTGGCAAGGTGACTATTTCCCAATATGTAGCCATCCAGAAAACATAGCTCTACAGTAGCGTGGTAGTGGTATATAGTTAGCGACACACAGTGTGACTCTCCAATAACCAGCCAATCACAAGACTGACGACCTAATTGCCCTTCATCGCTGTTATAAAGGCTGTGCCGCAAGGATATGCAATGTACAGCCCTTTCAAGATACGCTCCCGCACGCCTCTTATACGTCGGAACTGAAAGCACGTTTTCAAGTTCTTTTTAAATGCAAGAAGTGTCTCTCTTTAGTTTTTCAGATAAAAGGAACGTGCGTAAAGTTCAAAAAAATCTCTCTAAGTTTTGTGTAGCTCGAAAAAACGTTTATTTTAATATATTTTGTCAAATAAAGAGAAGAAAGTGTAGAAAGTCCACGGGCTATTTTCTAAAACTCTTCTTGCCCAACGATGCTATTTTGCCACATCGGTAGGCAAAACCGGATGTCATCAAGGGACTGTGTTTGTAAACAGCGAAAGAGCCTATATATACGGTAGTGCCAAGTTGCGCATTGCACCCTATATTGCAGGTTGTGTACGACGCTCGCTGCTTTGTGGAGAAGAACCGAAACTTCCTCCCCACGGAGATCGTACAGCTTCTACGGCAGTCCAAGCTGCCCGTTGTGCAGACACTTTTCCAGTCGCCGCTCACCAAGACGGGTCAGCTGTACACGCCGTCGCAGTATGCCTGCCAAAATGTAAGGAACTGCTGCAATGGCACCATTTTTTTCATAGAGTAACGTTGATGTGGGTTCGCTATGCCATGGCATGAGACCAGCGGCGCGCATGTATCCTGCGACACTTTTATTACTTAAGCCTAGCCGGCAGTGCACAGCTATTAAGTACACAAAGAAGGGATTCCGCAGAACTTTTTGCAGTGGGTGCATCCACATGTGGGAGGGGGGGGGGGAGGGACATCCAACACAGACAGCCCTTCTTTCACTGCCGCGACATAACCGGCAAGATCTGTCCATAGTGTGTAACAAATGCCGTCTCACACGGATCTGTGAAAACTGCGTGTGCTAATCAAGGTGCGTAGCTTATCGTTACTGCAGAGAAAAACATCTGCAATCCCAGGAGTGTGAGGGGGGTAGCCGCCCTTGCTCCCACATCACTCGACGCCTACGTATGTAGGCCTAACAAAAAGAAAGCCAATTTGAAAAAATTGAGTACACGCTTCTGGTTATAAAAAAAAAAGGACATGCACGCGCAGAACTTCAACAATGTTCCGGGTCATTATGGTGCTTATAGTTAATTGTGCAAATAATGTATTGCCAGGGCGTACTCATATTGTCCCGACGTCAAGAGAGAGGTCGTACTCGAAGACGCTGAGAAAACAGCAGCGGGTCGGTCTTTTTGTTAACCGCGCGAGAGAGAGTTCCTCGTCTTTCTCGTTGTTGCGTTCTGCATAAAAGCGTGCAGATGCGCGTATGCGCTGTCGCCTTCGTCTTTTTCGCGGGACGCACGTGACAATATAAACAGAGGGAAAACCAGGTTTGTTTCGGTGCCACAATACCAAATCAAATTTCAATCAAGAAAATGTCTCTCATATTTAAATAAAGCACCAGTTATCGACTGTGTTACCAGCGTTTGCCGTTCTCTGACAATATTTTGCGTTCACCGTAAATTCACCCCGGAAAACTTCCTGTTTACCTTGTTTTATGGTGACTATAGGCCGCGGCTGCTTGCGTTTTGATGTTTGCTGCAGACAGAGTAATTCCGATGAAGCGCTCGCGACTCGGAAACTGCTCTGTAGTTCCGGGATGCAATCTGCGACCCGTAGCTAATTTGCTATCTCAAGTCAAAACGTTGTTTTGTGAGAGATTATGGTAGAGCGCCTGGATCGCACCGCGATCGGGCGAGAAAACTGATTGATTGATTGATTGATTGATTGATTGATTGATTGATTGATTGATTGATTTATATGTGGGGTTTAACGTCCCAAAACCACCATATGATTATGAGAGACGCCGTAGTGGAGGGCTCCGGAGATTTCGACCACCTGGGGTTCTTTAACGTGCACCCAAATCTGAGCACACGGGGGCCTACAACATTTACGCCTCCATGATCGGGCGAGAAAACTGGATTCTTACAAAGACCGCATAGACTTGTTCAGCGAACTTCATCAAAGGCAAGTAGAGCTCAGCGCATACTCTAATGGCGCAGAGGCGATGCTCAGACAGTAGTCGAAGGCCCATTCACGAGGAACACGTCGGACGCCGTCGTCTGCCACCCGTAGCAGCACCTGAAATAGATAGGAAAGCCTGAAAGCGGACTGACGCAAAAAATCCACCGTAAAGGTGTTTTTTTTTTCTTTTGTAGCTGGAGCCTCATCACTGATGTGTACTGTTCAAACCAACGTCTCGGCACAGCGTGCATCGCGGTGCCCGTTTTAAGTGCGAATGCACTTTATAAGTTACCCCGAATCCGCCGTCCGCGGTCAACACCCTGCCCCGCCGCGGTGGTCTAGTGGCTAAGGTACTCTCGGCTGCTGACCCGCAGGTCGCGGGTTCGAATCCCGGCTGCAGCGGCTGCATTTCCGATGGAGGCGGAAATGTTGTAGGCCCGTGTGCTCAGATTTGGGTGCACGTTAAAGAACACCAGGTGGTCGAAATTTCCGGAGCACTCCACCACGGCGTCTCTCATAATCAAATGGTGGTTTTGGGACGTTAAACCCCACATATCAATCAATCAATCAAGAGGTCAACACCCTCTCGGTGTTGCCGCGGTGCGCCTCCTCCTTTCCCCTAGCAACGGCGCGAGGAGCGGAGAAGAGCGTCTGTAGCAACGGCGCAGCGACGTCACACACCACGTGATTGCGCGCGCTCCGCCCTCCGCTCCGTGGCTGCGCGCGCCGCCACGACTTGCTCGAGATCGGCAAGTCGTCATAGGTATGGATCCGTCGCAGCCATCAACCTCGACTGCGATACCTCCAACAACGAGTACAACGCAATCGAATGCGAGCATTGCACGCGTCGTTGAAGATGTCGCGCCGGTTGAAGACAAATTAAGGCAGCGCGGCGAAGGGCCCGTGATGCCGAGCGCAAGCGGGCCGCGGACATAAACATCATTGTAGTGCGAATTTACTCTCACATATACGCATAAACTCACCAAGATTTCCCGAGAGGGTCTAATGGTTCCACGGAATCGCGATGTGATCACACAGGGGGAGTTTACCTTAACTCACTGGCGAATGCCAACGGATTTACTCCCCTTCATAGCATCACCCCGTGCATTCAAACCACGACCTCCTCTATAAACTTACGACCTGCTCATGCCGCCGCTCCCCGTGTCGCCGGTTTTGCTTTTGCTTGTTTAGTTTTTTTTAGTTCTCGAAAGTGCCGCAGCACGCCTTGGCGCCACAACTAACCCCCACTGCTGCAGCTGCCAAGCCGCTGTTCTGCTTGGTGCGTGCGTGCGTTCGCATGATCTTGTGGCACTCGAAGGCTATGGCCGCTATCACTTGTCACCAATAGTCTGCGCAGTCAGGAGCGTTAGATAACGACAGCAGCAGCACCATTCCCGCAATGGTGTACTGCTGCGTTCCTTTTTGCAAGTCGAGCGATCGGCGGTCAACTGGGATATCGTTTCACGAGTTCCCCGTCACCCAGATTCGACAGGAGTGGTTGAAGAAGATCATAATTTTTCAAGTAATAATTTTTCAAGGTTTAAGAATTTATGGATTTGATCACATGAATGCAATCAATTGTGGGGCAAGCTTTTCTAAAGCCAGCTTGCTTCCTTCATTGATTAAAGTGCAGCGCTTTCCTTATCCTGTTTTAAAGAACCTTCGTGAATATATTGCTGAGAGTTTAGTAGAATAATATGGGCACTTTTCCAGCTAAGGCATACATTCGAGATCTTGAGACATTCTGCAATATTTAGTGGAGAGCAGAGTGGATCAGAGAATAAACAGGGGTAGCTCACATCTATCTTTAACAGAAAAAAGTAGAGCTGCGCAGGCAACGTAGTGCACAGGACCTATAACCAACGTGCAGCGAGAGCAACGGAGTGGATATCGAGGGATGGCTAACGCAGCCGAGTTAAACAGTTAGGTTGCTTGATGAAATTCAAGAGGTTCACTGGGATAAAATGGAATCGGCGTGTGCAAGACGGGGGCAAGAGATCATTGCGAGAGGTCTTTACCCTGCAGTGAACACATAATAGTCGGGTCATGATAATGTCGGTTTTGTCGCACGCTTCCATCGTTAGACGTTCGCTAGACCCAAAGCACCCAGACGATAGCACAACTGCGCCCCTCTGTCGTCATCCGTGCACAGTATGACAACGATATGCTTGAAGGGCGACGTTCAGGTCATAAAAACTTACACGGGTTATCGCATGCGTCGTTCGTACCGTATGTCGTCTTCATTTACGTCGTAGACACGTCGGTTCCAAGTTTCAACTTGTTACATGCAAGATCGCACCGGCTCGCCCACGAACGAATTATGTTTGCGGCTGCTAGACAGCGGTTAGGTGGGGCGCCGCTGCTTAAAATAAAGCGAGGAAATAAGGCTTACGTTCTCTGGGTTATGTGTCGCATATTGCTTTCGTTTGCCTGCACTTAGATGGGGACGCAAAAGCGCTCGCGCAAAGATTGAGGTCCGGTAACGAGCATCCCGAAGCCATCCACCACGGTGCTTCTCACAACCAGAATGTTGCTTCGAGACGTTAAATCAGTGGATTGCTCGATCCACGCGTTAGAAACTAGAACAATGAGAGGAACGCGCACACACGAGTGCACCACAACGGTCGTGCGTCGTCTGCTATGGGGGTAAGTGGTGGCGGCATCTGGCGGTACTTCCGGTCCCTACACGCCAATTTTTAGCTCCATACGCCTCCGTAGGGATGGCGCCGGTGAGCAGGTCGTAAGTTTATAGAGGAGGTCGTGATTCAAACTTAACCATGTTCACCCTCGGGGAAATTCTTGGGAGTTTTTTTTAGTTGCGTTGCTTTTGCTCTTCATGAGAGCGACGGCTGTGAGTGGGTTCGCATTGCTGCGAGGAAATGACTCGCCGCCTGTCTTGCCGCCGTCAATAGAGATCGCCGCACTCTGGCTAATTTATCTTTATGTGTCAGCGTGGACAGTACTTGCGCAGTGTACTCGTTAATGACTGACCACACACGTTCGTTGCAGCGCGTCAGCGCGTGGAATTTTGACGCGGCGCCTCGCCCTCGAGTGCGCAGCTTCGCGTAACTAAACGCGTGACCAGGCGCCCTCTCTCTCTCTCTCTATAGGACTAGGGTGCGGCGCTGCGTCAGAAAGCCCCGCGCCGACGCGCTGTGACCGATAACGTGTGGTCAGGCCTTTAGTAAACCATATATATATCTCGCGTGACTCCGTTGCACTTGACGTCATTACACGATGAGTACATCTGTTTGCCAACTTTTTTTTTTTTCAAGACTGTGCTCACCAGGCAAATACCATAGGTAGCGAGAGAACTGCCCCTATATGGGAACTATGGCAGTGTGGTTGTGCTGCACGTGATAAGTCACCAAGACACTATCCCTTTACCGTGGTAACGTGTTAAGCGTAGTTTTGCAGTTCTTTTTCGTCTGATGACGTCAGCTTTATGTTGTTACAATCAATCTTAGCTCGATAAAGCTATCACGATATGACTTTCGTATATTGAGGAATGAATTGACCTGCCAATGGCCTACCTTTTTTTTCATTCCGGGGAATTGAAATGAATTGAATTACGACAAGTTGCAATTCTCCGGAATGGCATTGGAATGAAATGGAGGTCCCATTCCGCAACGCTGGTCACTAGACATCGCTGCAAGCAAACCCGGACAAATGCGCCAGAAAAAATACAGCAACAAGCGCAAACATACCAGGCAAACACCGCCGGGGCCACCGAAAAAAGTATTACCGGGAATTACGCTGCGGAAGTCTTCTTGGGCAGACAGTCTGGCGCGCGCCAGTTTGTTTCCAAGCAACGAAACCATCTATAGTTATTACAAGAATAGTGGCACAGCTAAACGAGAAAGGCGACAGACGAGGTCACCAAGGATACCTCTTCTGTCGCCTTTTACTGTGCCGCAACTATATACAGTATTAATCATGCACCAACTATGCCTGCGACGTTTTTTTCATTAAGCACTCTCGTGAAAACATAAAAACTAAAGAGCTGCCGAAAAGTGGCAAAGCTAAACGAGAAAGGCGACAGACGAGGCCACCAAGGATATTTCTTCTGTCGCATTTTACTGGGCCGCAACTATATATAGTATTAATAGTGCACCAACTATCCCTGCGACGTTTCTTTCATTAAGCACTCTCGTGAAACCATAAAAAGTCAAAGGCTGCCGGAAATGCTTTTCGAAAAGAGCGCGACAGACAAGGGCTGACTGCGTCACAGTAAACTGCGTACGGTGCAGACGTCTCCGGGAACGTAGCGTAACATGTCTATCTGTCGCGATGGCCCTGAACTAAGAAGCGCTTCTCCCTGCCGGCACAGCTGTCCACGCAGAGCCTAGTGAGCCAGGCGAAGGCGCTGCAGACGACGAGCACCTCGTTCCGCTTCTCGCTCATGGACCTGCTGCAGAAGATGAGCGCGGGGCTGCCGCACTTCGTGCGCTGCCTCAAGCCCAACGACTACCGGCTCGCCGGCGGCTTCTCGCGGGACAAGGTGCTGTGCCAGCTCCGATACACGGGCGTCCTCGAGACCATCTACATCCGCCAGCAGGGCTTCTCGCACCGGTACTCGTTCTCCGAGCTGCTCAAGAGGTGAGCACAAACCCTACAGCCCCATCACTTCATTTTGGGGGCGGGGGGGGGGGGAGGAAGAGAGCGAGGTAAGCGGTTTTTTTGGGGTCCCCCCCCCCCCCCCGAGCTCTCTTCCTAATCTCTCCCCACTGAGAGACACTCACGATCAGAACTCGGTGCAAAGTAACCCCCCTCCCCTCTCTAACTTCTGGTCGCACAAAAAGCTTTCTTAAGTGCCCTCTCTTCATAGAAAGACACCGTCCTCATACACTTCAGTTGGCGGGGCGCCAGCCACATCTCGTAAAACAGCTGATCGTTGCTATTGGCTGATAGCCGGCATAAATTAGGATCAGATGAGCATCCTGCTGTGTGCCGGCGCCGCGTAAAAAGTACCCAGTAGCAACACTAACGCACACAGGAATCTGAACGGAGGAGCTGATGTAGCTCATTTCCCTCGTGTCATCTCTCCCTGTGTATATTGCAGCGCGCTATTCACGGAAAGAGAAATGAGAAAGTGCTAAAAAAACCCTTTAGCTCCGATCGTTCTTGATGTATTCGAGGAAATTTTGCGGCAATGAATTCGTGGGACAATCAATTTCGTCACTGGTGTCATTAGATTATTGCTTGGAAAAAAATGTTCGGAACGCCTTTAAAAAGCGCACTGGCGCCTCTGACAGAGCCTGTAAGCCTTGGCATTCTCTACGCATGTCCGCCACAATATTTAATGGAGCAATTGCCTCGCAGACAGTCTACACTGGTGTGCTGTGTAGAGGCGTCATGTGGATTGCAAGTTTCCCACAGACGTCAAGGATGCGAAGAATACGTTAACAATTGAGCTTAAGTTAAAGAGCAACACCATTAATTGGGCATACTTGTGCCCAACGAAAACAAGACGAGAAGCAATGTGATAGCGACGAGCACAATCATTTGTCGTCGAAATCTGATCGGCGCATCTGCAGCGTAAGCTCCATTTGTACGTGAGTGACGGTACATTACAACACAGTCCGTTGCACTCACAAGAGTTTTAGGACGTATGTACATACTTCACTTCTCGCATCATGGCCGCAATGTGATTATAATTATTAAAACAAATGTTGCAGAAGGTTCTGACCATAACATTGTGGTGCCTAGCGCCAAATTGTACCTAGCGATAATACGTGCAACACGCAGTGCTGTTACATGCTGCTCGGTGTATAAATATAGACTGCGCAGTATGCAATTTAGCACGCTTCTGTTTCACCATAGAATAAAGGTTTCACTCTGAGCCATCACCGCGGAACAGTTAATTTTGAATGAACCATAAAAAAATTATGTAAAACTGGTCACTGTGTCACGTCGCAATAATAACTGCAAGAACAGTGGTCGCTTCGTAAGCAACATATCGCTTCATTTCAGAGTGGCATAGCCGTAGTCACTTTTTTGGGGAACTACATAGGAACTCGCGTCGTTTTATGGCAAAGTTTGTCCAGGCGCAGTAAACTTTTCCACCAATGATTCAGAGAGCATTCTCGAATCGTTGCGAACTTTGTGCTTCCAATGACCGATTTCAGGTACGGCTTCTTGGCGTTCTCCTTCGACGAGAGGGTCGTTCCCAACCGCGACACGTGTCATCAACTTCTCGTGCGGCTCAAGATGGACGACTACGCTATCGGAAAGTCGAAGGTAAGCATTCCACTTTGCGCGAAGCGAGAGAAACAAGACTTGAGTTTTCAACGCTATCCATGTATTTATTTGCCTGTCCACTGTCGTCCTTTATGAAAGAGAACACGCGAACGCGCGACATGTGCTCTGCGGCGGCTGCCTACAGCACCATCAACCGACAGCAAAAGGAAACACGTTCGCTTTCAGCGTCATCTGTTGCCGAAAAAAATAATAACTAGTTATGGCCGGTAGACAAGCGCTGCTAGATTGCACTCTCTCTCTGCTAACGCCTGCAGTGAGTAGTCCACTGCCAATATATCAAACGTAGTTCGCGATCACGGCACAAGCTGCAGTAATCGCCCGATATCACTCGCCATGCGAGCGATCAGGGAACGCAATCTAGCATAGAAGTGTGGCAGCTTGGGCTAGTTGGTATGGCATGACGATAGTTATAGCGCGAGAACAAAACGACACAGAGACAAGAAAGACACGAAAGACATGAGCGCTTAGCGCTCGTGTCTTTCGTGTCCTTCTTGTCTCTGTGTCGTCGTTTTGTTCTCGCGCTATAACTATCGTCAGGCAATCTAGAAGCGCTTGTCGACCGGCCATTACTCGTTATTTTGCTTGCTCATAGATGACGCGCAAAGCGAACGTGCTTTCTTCACTCGTCGGTTGGTGGTGCTGTAGGCAGCCGCCGCCGAGCGCAGGCCACGCGTTCACGTGTTCCCTTTCATAAAGAACGACAGTGCACATGCACAGGAATCCTCATATTCTAATATCGCACCACTCGTGCGCTGTAAACATCAGATATAGGTGAGCAAACATATCGCGATGCTTTTCGTTGCAATGCGTATCCGCAACCTTAAGATAACAGGACCTCAAGCACTAGGCTCACGGAAATACCCCACGCAATGCCACCAGCCATCTCGACACGCCCAGCCTTTGCACCCATCGCTGATTACCTGCAAGATAAGGCGCGCGGGGGCAGAGCAAGCGAAACCGCCGCGGCCGGTCTACACCGGATAAGATGTAGGAGGCTGCGACACATGCTTTGACGCGCGATGACATCCCCCACCTGTAGTACCCCTAATATATTATATTGAGTTTAAATTTGTTTTTTAAGATACTTTTTGTGTGCGCCAACAAGTCGGGCTTCTTTGGGCAGCCTTCAGAAATCGCAGTGATTGAATATCGTAAGCATGTGTTGCGCAGAGTGACGTTGCGGACCGTCTCGCTTTCTCGCACCTGCGGGAGGTCGAGACGTTCCTATCTGACTCTCATCCTCTATTTTGCCCCTCCTACAACAGCAGGCATTGCCCGAACATGCGCGTTATTGTGGCCATGAACCAACTCGATCTCCCGAAACGGCCGCCGTAGAGGATACATGGCAGACGCGGCCATAGCCTAGCGCAGAATTTTCCAATTGGGGTAGGGGGCGATTTCATTGCAGCACCCCCACCCCCTTTTTCCGTTGGCCGAGTACTAAAGATTCAAGCTTTGCAGTGGATGCAAAAAAGTCACATCGATTGATATGTGGGGTTTAACGTCCCAAAACCGCCATATGATATGAGAGACGCCGTAGTGGAGGGCTCCGGAAATTCCGACCACCTGGGGTTCTTTAAGGTGCACCCAAATCTGAGCCCACCGGTCTACAGCATTTCCGCCTCCTTCAGAAATGCAGCCGCGATTCGATTCCGCGACCTGCGAGTCGTAAAAAAAGTCAGTTTCGCCTAAAGGGCGAAGCAATAAATGCGAAAGCAACATATACGAATGTTTTACAAAGCAAGGCTAGCATCCGATCTCACATAACTCTACAAAACGCTGGTGCAAAGGAGCGTTTGCACTAGAGCGACACGACATTGACAATACACCGACGACGAAGACACGAGGCAGACGCAGACCATCGGCCGACATAGCGTCCGCCGACGAAGTTTGCCAGACTCCATGGTGTTACGCCTGGAAGTCCACAACGAACGTCAATGCCTCTGCAAAGGCAATCTGTGTCAATGCCAATGAGCCCGCCTGACAAGATCAGCTCAATGACGTCATCACGCGGCGGCGCCGGTCTGTCTTACGCAACGCACAGCGAGCCCCATCAGCCCCCGAGTCCGATGAAGCAATCGGCGCCTTCCAGTCTGGCGAGTGTTACGCAATGCGTGTCAACATCCCTCGTCCTTGGATGCAACCACGCGCAGCGGCGGGCCTCGTTGGAGGATCCTGACATCAAGGCCAGCGGCGCTTCTGGTCGGACGTTGGTGACGAAAAAGGTCCTATATATTTATTTCCCAACAATTTCGGGAGGGGTGAAGGAAGGACCCCTCCCGAAACTGTTGGGAAATAAATATATTTATCCTTGTTGACAACGCTCCCGTTGTGCCATATCCCACATATATATATATATATATATATATATATATATATATATATATATATATATATATATATATATATATATATATATATATATATATATTGAATGAACTTGCAGATAGCACATTTGAAAATACGATTCAGTAAATACGATTTCTTTTTCAAATGTGCTATCTGCAAGTTCATTCAATGTAGAAAATACCCGGACCTGCCGTGCCTTCCCTTCAAGTTCTATATATATATATATATATATATATATATATATATATATATATATATATATATATATATATATATATATATATATATATATATATATATATATATATTCGTTTTGAGAGCGCCGCCCTTAGAAGCTCCCGCCTGCTGTAGGGGCACAAACAAGGCGCACGCTAATCGTTGCCGCGATAGCGCGGCAACCATAAGCGTCCCCCCCCTCTCCCCCTTGTCCGCTCACGAGGTAAGCGCGCGCGCAGACGACCCCGGCTGTAAAGGCGATGTTCGCTCCTCAGAAAAAGGTGGCTAGCGCATTCTTTCCCGTATATATTTACATATACATATGCGGGAATTACCGCGACGGCAAAAACAAGCCAAGACTGTCCATATAATTGCTATCGCAATAAAATGAAAACGAAGCTTAAAGTGCTTCTCACAACGACCTGCGCCTTTAGTTTCCAGCTTTCCGTGAGTGAGAATAGGTTTTAAGCGGCTTTTGAAATGCAACACCAGTGGTCCTCGGCCTACCATTAATTTCAAAACCTGCATGTTCATAACATTGCTCTTTAAAGAAGGACGCGACTGGTATATATAAATCCGGGAGAAAACAGGGTGGTATCACAAGCAGAAGGAAGAAAAAGAAGGAATAAATAGCAGCCGGCTTCCAACACAGTTGTCGACTTTGCCACTGTCAAAACCTTGGCTTTTGTGGATCTTTGTCGTTCCCTGTAGAAAATCGTGACGCTATTCCTGCAGCTCTTGCTGGGCACACGACTCAATCGAAACCTTCTGGCTTACTTCTCAAGATGTAAGCAAAACCGTAAGTTATCCTTCCCCTGTTCAGGAAGCGCTGCTTTTGAAATGCAACACCAGTGGTCCTCGACCTACCGTTATTGTCAAAACCTGCATGTTCATAACATTGCTCTTTAAAGAAGGACGGGTCAGGTACGACTTAGTAAAGGTATAAGGCAGACTTGGCAACCCCTTCAGGTCCCCCCACACTGCCCCTCTGTGCACACGATTATAGACACGTGTAGCACGCCGCGCCATACCTGTATTCCAGTGCACACTTTGCTTCTGTCCCCTGGCGCCAACTGCTTTAGCACACGTAATGGGAATGCGCCTTGATTGATCTCCCAATGGTTGGGCATCAAAAGTGTAGCCAGAAACATTTTTTTGGAGGGTGCTGATTAACTCTACCAATCCCCTTGTGTATGTGTCTGTGCATGTCTGTGCATACATGTATATATACACATGCAATATATAAATGATTTCGAGTAGAGACCTTAGACCCTTCTATACACTTCATTAACACCGATGCATTACCAGGAGCTACAGCAAGTGTCACAGCAGGCTCACAGGATCTATTTTATGCCGTGAGCTTTCCTTTCGCCACAAGCCATCAGTGTTGCACCGTCAACTTCTGGGTGGAAACAAAAAAACTATGTTGACTCTGCCTGTCATGCCTTCTGCACTGTATCAAAGGGTCAGTGAACTTGTTAGACTGCCTGTTGTGCGTTGAGGAGTGGACAAGTGCTGTGTCCTTTTGTGACCACTCCTTCTTCGTTAAGCCTTTAGCAAAGCTGTCTCCAGACTCCTACTGCCACTACCATTTCCCCCCCAATCACTTTCCCTACAGATGTGAACTCAACTCACCTTCACATGCTTTCCACTCTATCACACCTGCAGATTATGCAGAAAACTATGGCGATGGTCAAATGTTGCCTAGTATGACCCACACACAATCGTAATAAAGGTCAGGATAGGGCACTCATTTTGAAAGGGCAGCACAAATACGCAGAAAAAAGAAACACAGTAGAGACTGTTCTCTGTGTATTTGCGCTGCCCCTTCAAAATCAAGTATATGAACCAGCTAGCCCAAGCCAAAGTACTTCTCAGGAGAGTGCAGTAATGTCAAACGATAACCCTCCGGCGATATCACTTTTACAAACTATTTATCATTCATGTAGGAAACAATGTCTATAGCTTTGATAAAACACTGCACTTGCTAGATGCCAGGACATCGCAAGGAAGTATCCTGAAAAGTTATTAGACACTTATGCGAAAAATCCTCTGCATACGGCTACATCGAGTTTTTTTATTATGAGTGTGCACGCATATGATAACAATGCTTCACTGTTGTGCACCTACATTGAATTAGGTAATTCCATGACCGTGTACTTCTTGCAGGTATTCCTGAAGTACTACCATGTGGAATACCTTTCTCGACTTTATGAGCAGCAAATACGGAAAATAGTGATTGCACAGTCAGCTGTCCGGAGGTGGCTCGCAAAGCGCTATGTGCAGAAGAGGAGACTTGCCATTGCCCTGGTCGCCCAGCGATGTAAGTTTTGCCATAACGCATAAGATTTTAATATGACACTGCAATGACGCTGTGGTAGTGCATTCTGCTTGATGACATTATCAGTGCAATTACTGATAGCATTGTTGTAAAATTAATGTGAATGTGCTATATACAATCTCTCAATTGGCATTGCACTCACAACTGCAGGTCAAATGAAGATCCAGAAGAACAAGGAGGCAGCAAATAGAAGAAAAGCAGCACATCACAAGTGCGTCGACCCAAATGGTTCCACTTGGAAGTGCCTCAAGATACTAGACTTTTGCCAGAAGGTAATTGTGTGATGATGTTCAGTTCATAGAAATCAATAGCTGCCAAATCTACAAATTTTAACTGATCCCACGCACTTCAAATATCTGGTAAGTTGGTGTGATATAAGGCACTGCAACTGTTCAGTAGCTTGCATTGTGAAAAATGAATTCAAAAGGGTTCAAAACCATGCGGTGGGCTATGCAACGTGAAAAAATAAATTTTGATGTTTTACAAGACAAAACCATGATTTGAGAAAATACCATGAGGCAAGCTGGAGTGGGCGACACTGGACTAGTATTGATTATACTGGGTCAGGTATATACGTTTAAAGTATACAAACATATCTGCATTTTGTCTCCATCAATACATGGCCGCCCTGTGCGTCACAGCCACTAAACCATCAGCCATGCCAGAGTTGCAACTCGCCATGGTGGTCTCGTGGCTAAGGCACTTGACCCCTGACCCGCAGGTCGCGAGGTCTGATGCCGGCCACAGCAGTCGCATTTTCGATGGTAGCAAAAATGCTTGAGGCCTGTGTGCCTAGATTTAGGTGCACATTAAAGAACCCCAGATGGTAAAATTTCCAGAGCCTTCCACTACGGCATCTCTCATAATCATGTGGTGGTTTTGGAACGTTAAACGGTAACAATTATTACACAACTGTTGCATAATTAGTAACATTTTAACCGTAACATAAAAGCGCTACAAAGTGTGAATGTATTGCATTTCTGCATATATAAACTACTACTGCATACAACTACCACCTCAAATACAGTGTGAACACAGTGATGCTATCTGTTCTCTTCTTTTGTGTTCCAGCTTGGCAGCTAAAATAACACAATTATTGTGTACCATTATGTACAGCCTTTGTCATCCCGCAGATGAAGATAGCTCGACGTTTCAAGATAGATCACAAGACCACATCAACAGCCGCGGAACTTGTTGCTATTCGGGAGGCAATGCGTTTCATGTCGACAGAACTTGCTCGTAAATGGACGATACTGTGCGATGCCAAAGCTGCTCTTCAAACCATCAATGGCTTCATGAGACAAGGTTCATATCATACTTTATCGATTGAAATAGCAGAGCTTCTTGGCATTGCTACAAAAAATGGACATCATGTAACATTTCAATGGATACCTGCTTATTGTGGCATAATGGGCAATGAAGAGGCGGACGCTGAAGCTAAGAGAGCTTTAAATAGTGCCCGGAAGTGGGCATCGCATTTTCTCGACAGGATACTAACATCCTACTTCGACGCGTAATGCGCAACTCCATCTTAGAGCACTGGCAGAAACCAGAACACCAGCACAAGCGGCTGCACAAATGGGACCCGGAAATGAAGTTCCGTATGCCCCACAAGTCAAAGCGAAGAATCTCATGTATTATCCACCGCATTCGCCTCGGTGTGGCTTACACGAGACGTTACACCCACTTGATTGGCTGTAATGACACAGGTCCCAATTGTGGTCACTGTCGGTTGCCAGAAACGCTCGAACATATATTTTGCGACTGTCCAGCATATGCAAGCGAACGTCAGCAACTGATATCTTCGATTGGCCGTATATTAGTCGACCATGAACCGATGAGGTTGTGTTAAGTCCTTGGTCTGACGCCAGCAGCACACATGTGGTTATACGAGCCGTCATCGCTTTCTTAGAAGCCACTGGACTGGATGCACGTCTGTAGAGTTACCCAGCCTAATAAGAACATATCATCTCTCTACCTTACCGTCGTCATTCATCACTCTTTCACTCCCCAGTCACCCTTCCCCAGAGTAGAGTAGCAGGCCAGAGCAAACTATAGCTCAAGCCGACCTCTCTACCTTTCTGTAAATAAATTCTCTCTCTCTCTCTCTATGTACCACCCATAAGCAGCAAAATTCAGCTCTTCTACAAGTAGAATTCTCAAAAAACAAGAACAGTATGCCAATAATTTAAACACATAATCACATACGTTGGTCATGTAAGTTATAGTTATGATTTCTCACAAAGTAATATACATAAGGCCATGGTAAGACAGCAGCGGTTTCTCAGCCCTACTCTGCTGCAGCATGCTATGGCTACGTGGTGACGCGACTGCATTTTTACCTCGCTGTGTGGTTTGATGTATGTAAATGCCATGTTTAAATGTATCTATACAGCAAGACAAAGTTAGCATTTTCCCTATTATGCCACGGTATCTGTGTAAAAATGAATACTTATAAGAAAAGAAAGTGTGCAAGTTACTGCAGCTTTGTAACCAGGACTGTGTAATAACTGCTCATTTATTGCTGTTGTCTACCACTATTAAAAAGAACATGCATCACTTCTCTCACAGGTGCACCACTGCCCAAGCAGCAGGAATCGATGTCTAAAGAAGGCGCATCCAAACACGAACATCACACAGCTCATCATGACCTGCCACCAAGTGCCTGGCCTGTCTACCAGGAATGGTGAAACCATTGCGGTACGTGAGGCTTGTCTCAAAGCAATGTACTTGTATAGTATGAACCCTGCAGGGACCTACACAAAGTGAGTTTCACACAAATTTTCTTAAAGGGATAGAATATTTCATCAATCTACTAACAGTACTCAGTAATATCACCCGTAAGTCCATTTTCGCGGATGCATGCATTAATATTGGTAATCTGTCTAGCTCCAACAGAAGCAAGAAAAAGCAGCTTACTAAAATATGGCCATGCTGCTTTTGCTTTCAATGATGCAGGACGAAACTCCTGTGCCAAGCGAGCGAAGGATCAATGGTCGCTGCAGAAATCACGACCACCAGCACCAACAAAGGCCACAACCAAAGAAGCCTCTGCATCTCAACAACTTTGACCTCTGTACTCACAAGCTCCCTGCAGAAGACAGGTACAGTAAAAAAAAACTATAATAAAATAAAACCAGCCATTTAAAACCAGCACTGCTGTGAGCTATTCAACAAAATTTTTAGACAAAAACTTACGTTCATTCGATCTTATGATCATATTCATTAGCATTGCTAGGAAAACAGTGTATTACGCTCAAAAGAAAAAAAAAGATGCAGCTATGCTTAGTGTATATTTAAGGCCATACAAGTGGAGTGGTGTGGCTCTGCCAGCTGTGACCATCACAAACGCTTGCAAACTGGAAACCCAAATATGTACGATACATGATTTGACAAGCCTTACATACACAATTGTAGTACTTGTAGTATAGTTGCTTTTTTAGTAACACGTTTCATGTATTTATGAAAAAAAAAATCTGCAGTGCAAAATGCATAGAGCGGTTCTTATGTGATTTCCACAGCTTCAAAGCATTGCTTGCAAAGTATGAAAGAAAGCGATACCAACAAGGATGTCTGATGCTGTGCTAATGCGCTGTGTATAATGCAAAATGAAATAAGGACAGCATAACATAATCCCCTTGCAGTGTAACAGAGTAACAGGATAGTGTTACAGTAGTTATATTCAAACCAATATGAATCAAGACCAGGACTTCCCACTTCTAAGTGTCTTATTGCATCATACTGTATTCTTGACAAGAATGTCTTAGCAAACAAGTGCTAAGTTTTTTACACTCGGCTAAATTGGAACTGTAGGTCATCATAAAGGTGCCCCATACACAAATGAAATGTTAAAAAAAGGTGATAAATAACAAAGCAACCAAAGGCTTATATTTTGCTCCTGTGCATCCATATAAAATGCCCATTTTCTTGCACACATTTATGATAGGTCTAAAAATGTATTCAAAATATACTGTAAATTCATTGAGAATATCACCTCATTAGAATGAGTGCATATATGTCTTCCCATCCTGAGAGAAAAAGAAACATTATTGTATATCAGCAAGAGGACAACTTAAAAAGTATCTATGCATTCTGCTGATATCAACACTGGCATATAAATCCATGAACATCCATAGCACCAGTGCAATAGATGGAGTGCACCGTTATCACACCGTCAATTTGTTTTTGAGAGCTGACATGACAGGACACATCAGCATAATTTCTAGGTCCTTCAAATAGCATAGTGTGTGCTTAATTTGTGTTCATGGTAATTGAATTTAAGGGGCTCATCTTGGCCCCGCCTTATTTTATATCAATTTACAAAATGTAGCCATAGTTAATTATGGTCCATTATACAGTATTATAAGTCAAATGGTCCAGTAACATGTGTTAATAAGGTACAACAGCCTGTGCTTGCATTTGCTTCAAAATGTAGATGCAGGGCACTTAACTCTAACAACAAGTGTCTCGTTTATCTCAAAAGTAAAACTTTTGCCGTTACACAGAAAAATGCTGGCCACAGAGGTTCCTGTGAAACCGGCACCAAGGGAGTTGCGCAATGGAGTTAACGGAGTCAATGTAGACCAGAAAAGACAGCAAGAGATGGATGCAAGTTCGGGTGAGTTGCAGTTTTCCCCAAGTCGCAAATGAATGCCGGTGAAGTAGTACTTGCAGGTTGCAGCTGTTTGTATTAAAGACTGATTAACATTAGAAATATTACATGACTGTCTGCTTCTTTCAGCTTCTGGAAACTCTAGCAGCCTAAGCAGTGGACCCAGGCCAACGATTGTTGAAGTGGAATCCTGGTGGCAAGAAGGCTCACTCAAAGAGAACCACAAAATGTGAGCACACCTAGCATTTGTAACTTGACATGGTGTAAGGTGTCAGGCTACCGCTACACCGTTATTTTGTCTTGTTCTTACAGTGAGCCCATCATTCCAGTCCATTGTGAGATGCCTACAGCACAAGAAAGTGACCCAAACCAAGGTCCCTACCAGTTCAAGAAGATCCTACGAAAACCTCCACCTTCACCCAAACCATCCCCAAACAGGCAAACACCGGGCGTGTTTGATTTTCGCAAGCTATTGCGCAAGACAGATAATGCACCTACGGAGACATTGAAGCGTTGTAAGGGTTTAATATCATCATCAAATTCAGTCACGTGATCATTACAACTACAATGGCGTCAAGTGTACAAGGTTGTAAGATGTCTGGTCCTGCTTAGAGTGAAAGCAGTACAGGACAACTAGTCTCTCTGTTTCCGTCCTTGCAGCTTTTTTATGCCATGCTGCAATGTGTATGTCATTCAAAGCAAGCACACACACACCGAGCTTTCTTGTCTCCCTCCTTCATGTTCAAGGACACATTGCCCACTTTGTGCGGAAATCAGGTTTATCAAAGGAGAATAGTGGTGGAGTGAAGACCACTGCTTTGCAAATTGCCTTTAACCAAATATGCAAACATGGCACTACACAAGCAATGCAGATGAAATACTGCAAATGCCCAAGCCATGACACCAGCTAGTACTATCCTGACAACTGTGATAAAGTAAGTAATTAGGGCTTTTATAGAACTTTTAGTAGCAGTGTTATCCTTGCCGTTCGTGTGCCATACCTTGGTAGGCTACGACAGCTGAGGAAAATACTGAATTGGCTGTGGAGAGCACACTGTGCTGTGACCAAAGCCAGTTTTTTTAATTGGCAATGCAAGCCTTGCTACAAAATAAGCCAGAATGCAGCCTCAACTGAATGCCCACATAACAACACCAAAAAATCACACGTAGACACGCAGAAAGTTAAACAAGGTTACCGATGAAAAAGAAAGCTATTTATTCAAGACAACACTGCACACAAGGTATGTGCAAGAAAAGAGTACATAACAAGGATTCTCAGGGCCCTGAACTTTCATATTCACTCCCTGCAGAGAAGAAAGAGCATGTGCACACTGAGTTAAAAACTTTTGATTTCTAACAGTATCAAATGTGTAAATAAAACAATCTGTACAAAAGATGTACAAAGCATTTCTCATCAAAGTGAAACTATGCAGCAATAAAAGTGTGATATTTCCTCTCACCACACATTGCGTACTTTTCCGTCGTGTCTCATGATTCGAAAAGGTGTTTCCATCCTGGCTGTAAGCTGCATTAAGTTATTATTGCTGTTACACTTGAAACATTGTAGAATGCTCCGTGATCTGGCCTGCACTCAAAGTACGCTTTTCCACCGAGTTTTCCATCGCAGTATCCCACTGCCATCAATAGAGAGAAAAAAATATATTTTAGCCTCACTCATAAAGAAGAAGCTAAGAATGGCTACTATAACTACAATGTTAATAAATTACACCGATACTTCTGCATGTGAATAAAAAACACTTTAGAAGTTTATAATCCTCAACTAGCAGTATGACCACGATGACTGCAAGACTATACAACTCAGTGGTTAATTGTATTAAGCCATTCTGGGTTAATATTTTATCGTATGAAACTTGGCTATTGCAGAGGTTTGCTTGTTGGTCAGCTTAAACCATTATCACAATAGTGCTAAAAATACATACTCAGTATTCTGTGTCATAGGACTTTAATCGTTCTCAACTACCTAATACTAACCAGGATAAGGCAGATCAAGACCAAGCCAGATCCAGTGTGGTGCACTGGTGTCAAGGTGGCCAACATAACAAATCTTTCCCGACAGTTTTCTTCGAATAACTGCTGTGTGGCCTTTGTCGAGAAGGTTGAAGGTTAGAGCCTTTGGGGACACTTTTGTTCCTTCAAAAGATTTGCAGGCTTCACAAAGGCAGCTGTCTAAGGGCACCCAAGGGTTTCCAAACTGATGCAACTGCTCCAGAACCTTTTGAAAAGTAAAGGGTTAGAAAAGTTATTAGCAACTGCTACCTACATTTACAGCACTTGTACCACGAAATGGGCGATATTTGTGCATCACCTTCAGTGTGTAAATAGTCCCTTTTTTCTTGTTCACAAGAGAGGCTGCAATACCACGGCTAGAATTTTCTGCATCACTTACAGTTGCTAGTTCAAAAGTGCTTGCCGATGCAGCGTGCTCTGTAACACATGGTCTGTAAAGAAATGAAAAGCAAGAACGCTGAAATGTGACGAGATCGACGTAAAATATTTCTCTAGAAATTAGGTTACTGTAAATATGTGACAGCATAATTTACATCAATATATAAGTGTTTAAAGTCTTCACTTTATGCAACATGGTTTGTACACAAACCATCTACAGCACGTCCCCTTCCCCACCTCATGGCAGAGGAGCCTGACACTGCCAGTCCTTCATTCTCCTCTACATAACAAAAGTCCTGAACAGGGGCATAGCCAATGGGGTAATTTGAAGGGGTTCAAACAAGAGGACATAGATCAAGCATGCCCCCCCCCCCCTGAAATTTTAAAAATTTGCTTGCATATATATATTCACACACATACAAACGTATACATGAGCATACATAAAGCATCTTTGAACCTCCCTTCCCCCCTTTTCCGAAAAAAGATTTGTGGCTAGGCCCCTGGTCCTGAGCAAGCCAGACCCCATACAACCACAGGAGCGGGCTGCACAGAATTACCATAGTGTACATACACTTACTTGTGGTCGTGCTGTGGTGAATGCGTGTTGGTTGCAACTGTCTTAGCATCTGCGGGCTGTGCGGACATTAACTTGCAGGCCTGTAATTCACGACCTAAAGCCTCGTTTTCTTGAGTGAGCCTAGAACAGTTAAACTACAGGTGAAGACCGTGCGGCGTCGATGCAGCAAACGTATTTAGTGCTGTCGCGTGCGAAAGTTGATTACCGATCTCGCTGTTCCAGTAAAGCGGCAACGTTGGTGCAGAGAGGCACTATGCCAGCTCTCGAATGCTTCACGACGAAGGCCACGGCGTCCGCAGCCCACCGACTGGGTGGGCTCACAGTGATAGCAGATCTAGGGACCGGACTGCCAGACATCACGCTCGCAAGGCGATATCTGGGCGTACGAAATGGCCAGAACTACACTGAAACGCAACGCTAAATTAGGATACGGCTACCAGAAACTTAGATACCTGACTCACTTGTTGATCCAACACTCCAGTTGAATGTTTGCGCCACAGTGTTGCCATCAGATAAGCCAATTACGTCAATCGCGAAGCGTGATTTTTTTTTTTTTTTTTTTCGCATATTCGCTGTTTGGAGCAGGACGCTTACCATTCGGCGATTTCGATGCTGACCTGACACCACGGTGTGGCAGTTCTGTCATCGTACGACTGCGTGGTAACGTTTGCCAGTTTGTGTGTGCAACGCATCCAGATCATATGGCCACGTCGAAAGCGCATTATCGCTGCATATATAAGAACGCATTTCGTTTCGCTGTAGCATATCGGCCCGCTATACCCACGCAGCGAAACTCGCGTCACATTTTGTGAAATTTAGAACCTGCGATTCTAAATTGTGCCATAAAGGATGATGCGCTAGGCACGTACGTGGCGAGGCAGGCTTAGTCGACGCTGACAAATCCACCTGCTTCATTTGTTCCTTTCTTCACGGCAAACTGGCAATGCAATAACGGTGAGAGCAGTATAGGCCAACTTACCGTTCAACACAAATGAGAGAAATAAATCTTCCCTATTTTTTTTTCTTTTTGCGCTTGCCCCCGCCTTAGCAGACGAAGCCATGGGAAGGTTGCACTTTTCGGTATCCTTTATGAGGGGAAAAAAGAGGGAGGGTAAGTGTGATTTCTCGGCTAGTTGATATACCATAAACAAAAATTTGACAGATTCCCCGTACCATGGGAATCGACGTTAACTAAAGCACGCAGAAGGGAGGTGACTGTGTTGTAATATTTTTATTGATCGACACGTCATGAAATGGCGATAAATGTATGTAGAAATGTTGCACGCATAGACGTATCTTGAACAGTTGCAGCTGCTTACATAACCAGTTGTTTGCACTTGCGCAACGACGCCAACAGGAACGTGAGTATGAAGAACACCAGGTGCGATAAGCTGATATGACGCGCTAGTGCTCACGAACATGGTAGCCCTGGTAGGCCTGTGTGCTCAGATTTGGGTGCACGTTAAAGAACCCCAGGTGGTCTAAATTTCCGGAGCCCTCCACTACGGCGTCTCTCATAATCATATAGTGGTTTTGGGACGTTAAACCCCACATATCAATCAATCAACATGGTAGCCCTGGACACTGCTACATAAATCTACTTCAGCGAATGTCACCTAACTACAATCGACGTTAGCCCGACGTGACGGCTATAAGATAGGAGTACATCATCATCATCATCAGCCTGACTACGTCCACTGCAGGACAAAGGTCTCTCGCATGTTCCGCCAGTTAAATGGGTCCTGTGCCTGCTGCTGCCAATTTATACACGCAAACTTCTTAATCTCATCTGCCCACCTAACCTTCTGTCTCCCCCTCCTGTACCCTTTCTGTCTCTACTCTCCTGTCAACGCGTTACATGCCCGGTCCATGTCCATTTCCACTACTTGATTTCAACTATTATATCCTTAACCCCCGTTTGTTCCCTAATCCACTCTGCTCCCTTCTTGTCTCTTAAGGTTACACCCACCATTTTCTTTCCATTGCTCGCTGCGTCGTCCTCAATTTAAGCTGAACCCTCTTTATAAGTCTCCAGGTTCTGTTCCGTAGCTAAGTACCGGCAAGATACAGCTGTTATATACCTTCCTTTTGAGGGATAGTGGCAATCTACCTGTATTAATTTGAGAGTGCTGGCCAAATGTGCTCCACCCCATTCTTATTCTTCTAGTTACTTCAATCTCGTGGCTCGGCTCTACCTGCCCTAAGTAGACATTGTATTTTACAACTTGAAGTGGACTATTACCTATTTCAAAGCATTGCTTTCTTCCAAGGTTGTTGCACATTACTTTAGTTTTCTGCAGATTAATTTTAAGACCCACCTTTCTGCTCTGCTTGTAATCATGAGTTGCAATTCGTCCCCTGAGTTACTCAGCAATGCAATGGCATCGGTGCAGCGCAGGTCACTTCACTTGCGTGAGGGTTGCCGTGTGACATGGACCGCATCTCCCTTGTCGTAAGGACGAAGGAGCTAAACGGTGTTCGCGGGTGCCCGTGTGACAGGGGTACAGGTACTCTCCATTAACTCTTATCCCTAACTGTTCCCATTCTAGGCCTATGAAAACCTCCTGTAAGCACGTGGTAAATAGCATTGGGGAGTACACATGTAATGTTTATAAAAGTGGATAGCCAGCACTGAAATCAGAATTGACGTGTCACGAACATTACGGTATATTTGATAAAGAGTTCCGACACCAGGCGTGGTTCTCTGGTAGAATACTTTATCTTCCCGCAGAATGCTGTGGTCTGATTCCTGCTGGGACCCTGACATTTATTCTTTGCATTCGTTGGTCGACGCTGCCTATGTCAGCTTTTCCTGAACGGTCACGTGTTACAATTAACCATGTAGAGAGAGAGAGAGAGAGAGAGAGAGAGATAGGTCTATTTACAGAAAGGCAGAGAGGTCGGCCTGAGCCACAGCTTGCTCTAGCCTGCTACTCTACACAGGGGCAGGGAAAAGGGGAAAAGAAAGAATAATGGATGGCGATGGTGAGATAGAGAGGTGAGTATGTAGTATTCTTTCTAGCTGAGACAAACTTTATAGCCGCGCATATAGTCCAGTTGCTTCCAAAAAGGTTATAACCGCTCTTATGACCACAATTGCACTGTTGGTGTCTGGCCAAGGGCCCAGCACGGTTTCATCAGTTAATGACCTATTGCGATATCGTTCAGTAGAAGAAATCGGTGTGTTTTCGCCGTTCCGAGCAGACACTAAGTATTAATCACTTGTGGCCTACCAGTGGCACATACCCGCCTGCGGGTATGTGCCACTGTCTGGCGGAAAGTGTTTGACGACGTAAGTGACGGGATTGTGACATTCATGTATTGACCAACGCGTCATATTTATCAAACCATCTTACCCTCCTGTACTAATTTTATTTTGCTTCCAGCCAAGTTGAAGGGGGGCGGGGGGGTCACGAGAGCACCCAGACGTAAGCGGCTAGATAGATAGATAGATAGATAGATAGATAGATAGATAGATAGATAGATAGATAGATAGATAGATAGATAGATAGATAGATAGATAGATAGATAGATATATAGATAGATAGATAGATAGATAGATAGATAGATAGATAGATAGATAGATAGATGCCAAAAGTGCTTGTAGTACACAAAGAAATGTTTAGGATTTAGAATGTTCTGAGAATACAAAGCATTTCCGACACAGTCAATCAGCGAATGCTTTCACCCAGATTTTCTCGCCCCTACAAAAATGCAGTTCTTTTGTTGTTGTATACAAATAGGTACCCTTCAACGCGATTCCTGTTGAAAGTGCCGAGAGAAGATGGTATGCGTTTTTTATTTATAAGCAGAGGGTTTACTTCCAGTTCACTCGGGGAAGGGGAACTCAATTACTAATCCACAACCAAATTGGTGGAAGGATTCATAATCCCAGCTGATGGTGGTAGTGAAAACGTATTTACTCACTGCGTAGGAGCTCCGAGTGGCCAGAGGTTCTTGGCTTGCGGTGGTAGGGGGTAGGCTTTATACTGGTGTCACGCGGGTACTTTTAATCGCAATCAGAGTGATCGGGATAGGTTTTTTTATTTTATCGTGATGATTTTTATGGCCGCTGCTACACGGCCCAAGCTAATTTGGATCGAATTTGGGTCAGCTGAAATGCACCAGGTGGCACTTGCGTGCTGTAAAACATGGCAATGACAAAACTCAGCTTACGATATTTTAATAAAGCGATTTATCAGCAAATCGTTTTCGTTCAAGTACCACTCGAACATCAAAAACTTTGCGTGCCACAACAAAAGTAATTTCATAAATCTACCATTCGGTAATTTTTTTTGCAATTACCTGTATTGCTGTGCGAGAACTTTAAACTTCACTTTTATTTCCGATGGTATATCTGCTAGTAGCCGTCCAGTCGCAGCGAAATGGCCATCTCGTTGTATACGCCAGAGTTTCATTTCTGCTGCCCCAAGTCTCCCAGTTGCTTCTGCCAGCGGTCAATTACTGTAAATGTCTCTTCATTCGACCACGAAGTGCGCGTACTTTGTGACATAGTCTAAAAGCTGGCGACGCTCATAATCGATTCGCTTCGAGGTGCTCCAACTGCTCCGGCGGTGCGAGAGTTGAAATTTGTCGTCTGCTTCTCCCATAACTACATGCGGTCATTACAAATCTCGAAATGTACAATGTTACCGATATTTTAAATATTGAGACAGTTTAAAATTTCTCTCATGAATAAATATCAAGCTTTTAAAAACTGTTTTTACAGCAACTACGCTTGATTTTCCCGTTTCTTTTGCTTTCAACAAGCTCGGCCAGGGGGCGCAAACGACACAAAATTGCGATCTGTCAGTCAGATCGCGGTGCACAGATCGCGACAGCCTTGATCCCGATCGGCCATGATCGCGATTAAAAGTGACCGTGTAGCAGCACCTAATCCGGGTCGTGGTTAATCCGGATCGGCACTAATCGCGATTAAAAATGCCCGTGTTACACCGGTGGGGCTCCGCTTGCAGCAGCCGCTATGCGGACCCGTTCGATCAGACTCAGTTAATCTTCCGTGTTCTCGCTGGCGCATCCCATCGCTGCACCGTGGGATTCCGTATTAGTTTTATGGCCTGGCATTTCCACGTGACGTGATGCAGCACCGTGGGCAGTGAAGAGAAGGACACGTGACATTACCACGTGACGAGCACCACGGGAAGTGAGGAGGGCATGCCGTCGGAGGGATGCATTTTACTCGGCGTGTGCAAATTTCGAAGCATGTATACAGTGGTATATTTCCCAACATCTGGTGATTGTTTTAGTGGTCTTAAAATGAATTCACTAGCATTCACTAAATTGAATTCACTAGCTTCCTGTGCTTTAGCCAACTGCATCCAGGATGTTTCAAGTCGTAACAGAGTAAGTATAGCATGAAAGTAAAAAATAAAAAAAAAGTTGGGCTGATCCCACGCATTGTGGGAGTCAGTTTTATGCGAAGCAGCGAACGAGTTGCAGCCTATGCGACATTTCTCACTCTGGGCCAAGCGTTAAGGTGTGGGTCGGCGTCTTTGAAGACACCAAAATAATAATAATAATTCATGACTATTTCTATCCAGAACTTCATATTGATATTGTGCCCGCAACTAAAATACTGTAGCTATATCACGTGTGCACACACAGACACACACGCATAGAGAGAGAGAGAGAGAAAGAAATGTGCAAAAACGTCACATCCCCACCCCTCTTGACAAAATTAAAACTCTCCGTCTATGCTTATATCTGTTTGAAACTAATTTCCCCCATTGAAACATCTGAAGCTAATGCTTTTCTATACAAACCTAAATGAGAATACGATCACTTCGTTTCATTCTTCAGTTTCACTACTTGTTTCGTTACAACTAAGTATGTGATAATAATGAGAAGTAACAGAAAATACTGCCAGGGAAAGTATAGGTGACTATGATTAACACCCTTGTAAGTGCCACATTAAACTTGCAAATTGAAACCACCTGTAGGACAGGCGCACGCGAGAATGAACTGCGGCTGGTTATCTGTGGAAGGCCCTCCCAGCCTTCGCAGATGAACTTTGAACAGGTGACCTTTGCAGAAATATAATGCGGTAAACAGCCTCCGTGTAGCGCAATATATATATATATATATTTTTGCAAAGGCGGCGACGATTTGTGAGCACCATTCAAGAATGGCCTGACAAGAGTGTTCCGCGTCACTTGCCATGTATCATCTTCTTTCATGGCCATCGCCATCGACTGACTAGCCCCGTTATATATACATATATATTTCTGCTGGTTTCTTACCACCACCTATGAAACACCACGACACATGAACAATTGGGTGTATAAACGAAGTCATAAGCGAACACCGTTTCAATAGAACACGGTCTTCCAAAGCTATTTTTTACCGCCTACATAATTGGACGCATGACACACCATGCAGATACTCATACGCGTGTGCACGCATACATGCCCAACGATAACACACGCGCGCGCGTGCGAGGAGACGCACACACAGCACATCGCTAATAACACACGGCACATTGCCCGGGCGCGGCCGCTCGATAGGGGAGATCGAGCAGCCGTGGCCCGAGCCTCGACTGCACTTCCGCTGCCTCCCACGAAAGAGTACCCCATTCAGTACATGCATGCCCCGCACGCAGCAACTTCTGGCACAAGTACTTTTCAAGCTTTTAGAAATGTGCTTGAGAACTATTGCAAAGGGATGTGCCGACGAAGTCTGGCGGTTGAGTGTGAAAGGGGTAATCATACGCGGTGAAGTTATCCGAAGTAACGTCTAGAAACATAGTTTCATATATTAACAGCGTGTTTTATATGAATACTGCTGCATCGAATTTCTGAGGACTCATTGTCTGTACGCGCCTAAAATACTTCTATACCTCATTCCTTTGTAAAACTAAAGGTAACCCGAAACTTGGAAAGTGAGACCGAGACACTGTTGCCCAGATATCTGAAGGCGGAACGTCGGTAATTTAGTTTCGCTATGCAATATGAAGGAGGGCACCGGTCATGCATCCTCTCCCAGGCGGGCTAGCCCGCGGGCGCCGTCACTCTGGACGACTCGCAGCAGTTCCCTCACGTACGCTGCCGCGAAACGCTCCGCGTAAAACGGTAACCGCGGAAACAGCCAGCCTTCGACGAAGCCCAGATGGCCGCCGCTGGGTGTCACCACGGCGGCCAACCACGGCGAGGCGATTATCTCGTCTTCGGGAAAGGTTTCCGGCGATCCGAACACGTCGTCGCTGGCCAGGAGGAACAGCAGTGGACGCCGCACCCGAGACAGCTTGCCCTGCGCGTACACTGCACACCATTAGCACACTTCGAGGTCTACAGGCATACGGCTGGCTGGACAAGTTGAAATGAAAGCGTTTCATCCGGTGAGAAACGTGCGGACAGGAAGAAACATCAACAAACGTTCTATTATTCTCGCCTGCATTCTAAAGGAGGCATTTATGTGACGTCGTCCGCAAGGGGCGTCAGCGCGGTAGCAGTCGTAACCGTGGTCGTCATTGTATCCGCAACCAAGGTGTTTGGCAGCGTAGGAGGCAGCAATTTATATGAGCTAAAGCTAAAATAAGAAACTACAAAAAAAATCTACGACTTAGCGGTGACATGCACCAGGTTAAACAAGTGAAAAAATTATACATGTTGGACGCCCACCACGTAGTGAGGACCTATTTCCGATAAAGAGATCGATCGAGTCACGTTACCTTTAAGCTGCAACTTTCGTAGAGCTCCTCCGTGGACTTGAAGCCGAATACCGGAGCCGTGTAGGTCTTGTCGAACTGATACAGCGTCCACGAGGAGAGAACGGCGTCCGCGTTCACCTCCTCCTGCAACGAAACGAACAAAGGCAACGCCCACTAAATTTCAAGGCCGAAAGGCTGCCGCAGTGACGTCAGAGGGTGGGGGCCCAGTTATGCCGCGAACGCGGCGGAAAGCCTGTGTTTCGTTCACGTTTTAGAAGAACCAACGCTCTCGCAGCTGTTGCGGCTTGATTGGGCCGAATAAAAGATGTGGAAAAAAAGTCTTACTGAGCATGCTCAGTTGGGCAACTGGGCCCCCAACCTCTGACGTCACTGCAGCAGCCTTTCGGCCTTGAAATTTAGTCGGCGTTGACAAAGGGCTCACTCGCATACTGTCATATCGTTCTCTTCCGTATATTTAAGAAAGAAAGAAGGAAGGGAACAAAGAAATAAAGCAGAAAGAAGGAAAGAAATAAAGAAAGAAGGAAGGAAGGAAGGAAAGAAAGAAAGGAAGGAAGGAAGAAAGAAAGAAAGAAAGAAGGAAAGAAAGAGAGAAAGAAAAAAGAACAGCTTGAACACCATCATTTTGTCCACGGTTACTTATGTCACACAAACGCGAATAGCGCTAATTCCGTTAAGAACATAAAAGAACCATGAAGAAGACTTGAAGACATTTCGGAGGAGCTTTAAGTTCGACTGCGGGCAAATTTTGAAGAAACTTTGTTGTTTCCAAACATACCGCGACCACGTTTTCAAAGCGAGGCGACTCACGCAGAATCGAAGCACGTCTTCGTTGTCCTTGAGATGTCCGACCAGGTTGCTGGCCATGTAAATGAGCAAGCCGAAGTTGGAGTTCCACCACTGCTCGAGGTTCCGCTTGGCGGTGGCCAAGTGTAGCGGCGTCGAGATGGCCAGCGCGGCGTCGATTCGCGCCTCCTCTCCCGAATTGATCAGGTACAGGCTGATGAGCAACCCGCCCAGAGAGTAGCCCACCGCCAGCAGGGCTCGGCTGGGGTATCGTCGGCGCACCTCGTCCACAACCTGCGTGCACGCACGAACCTTGTATGCATATGCCTGCGCGTGCAAGGTTATCCATAGGGGCTCGCTCTTCCCGACGACCTCACACTGAGGCACTTACGGCCAGGATACGCTAAAACCAGATATTGGGAAGGGGTAGCGGGGGAGGGGGCACCTAGTTACGGAGAGTTGACAACACGAAGCCGGCTGCTACATATGGCTGGCAGGAACGTGAAATTTTGGAACATCTATACGTTCCACGTTGATGTTAGCGCAATACAACTCGCAGAGTTGGAGCAGGTGAGGATAACCCGAAGAAGATGAAACAAGATCAGCGCCCGCTTGTGTCGGCAGTGCAATGATGGCAGTGAACTTTGTGGTCAGCAGGATTTTCCGTGTACATGCCAATGGTCACTATACCATAGACCAAAATCAAATGTTCACTACCTCCGCGTCCATACACGCTGGAGGAGTATGAAAAGGAAGGAGCTTCTCACTTGATGCAAAAGTGGAAATGAAGCAATGGCGCGCTGCTCGCTAAGGCTTGCCTTCACTTCTTGGCTTTCAGGTGTTCAAGGCGAAATGTAAAGCATGCTTGGCCGTAAATCGTCTAAACCCTACATAGCAGTTGCTGCGAAATGGCTCGTTTTCCAGGCGCAAAACATATACGTCCATTCGCTGTCATTATATTGTCTTTTACTGCCGTTTATCGCCGCGGGTGGTTCGGGATGCGAGCTCCCGAACCACGGATAAGGCGTGCCCCACTCTCCCTATCCAGCCTCTGCTTCCACAACTTCGAGGAGGTCCGGCACGTGCCATATTGCTCAATTCTGGCTAGTTATCCCGTGCACACTATTCAGCAACGAGAAAGATCCGGTGGTGCAAAAAAAAAAAAATCACAGCGTATTCGCGGAGTGAATGTTGATGAGTGGGGCGAAGCGTCTGTCTGTCTGTCTGTCTGTCTGTCTGTCTGTCTGTCTGTCTGTCTGTCTGTCTGTCTGTCTGTCTGTCTGTCTGTCTGTCTGGCTGGCTGGCTGGCTGGCTGGCTGGCTGCCTGTGCATCCGTCTGTGCGTCCGTTTGTCTGTCTGTTTGTCCAATACGGCCGGTTACGCCTGACGCAGGACAAAGACTAAAAGGAGCTTCGCCACTAAATTAAAGGGTTGACTTGGTGCCCCCCTCAGATAATAAGGAAGGTGACCCCACCCCACCTCCCCTCGCTCTTCATACACGCCTGTGGCACTGAAGAGTGTTCTATTGCAAGTACCTCCGCGAGGTCTCCCACGCTGGCCATGTGGGTGATGCGGTGTGTGCTCAGCGGCAGACCTCCGCGGCCGCGTCCGTTCATGACGACGCAGGGGCAACGCAGCTTTTCCACCAGCGGCATGAAGGAACGCAAGTAGTAGGCCTGGCTGTCGCCGCACAGCCCCGGCAACACGAGCAGCACTGGCAGCGACTCCTCATCTTCGTTGAGCCAGTCCAACGCCAGCCGACCGCCGTCAGACAAGGCTAGGTACTCGCGCCTGTAGGACACTTCCGGCTGCCAACTCTGCGGTATGAACGATCGCAAATGTCCCACATTCTCGAGCTATCTAAAGGGTTCAATGAGAAAGACAGTTCGAACGAGTGCAAGATAAGAATCCATGACATCACTGCAAGGCCCCCATGACGTCAAAAAATTTGACTGAGTTTTCTATGGCCATTATTTGCATTTTTTGTAATTATTTCTTTTTTTTAAGCAGCCGGAACACCCAGAGCAATAACTGCACCGCCCAGCACCGCCCATGTTGTTAGCGCATCCTATAGAACGGACCTGAAATCGAAATTAAAGCCGTCGCCCGAAGCAGCGGTAATGTTCAGCTTTTTCTTACGTTTCGTGGCAAGGCGTAGACAGTGGGGGGGGGGGGGGGGGGATATCTTTTTGAAATTTTCAGTGGGCAAAAAAAAAATGATTTGGAGTGGAGTGGTGCGGGTCCGGTGTGCTACCAATTATACCACCGTCTCGTGGTCCCTAAACTTTTGGCACTGGCTGTACATACAAACAGATATCGCTAGGAAAGAAATAAATAGAGAGAATATAGAGATTATGCGGCGGCTGCATTTTCGATGGAGGCTAAAATGCTGCAGGTCCGTGTGCTTATATTTCAGTGCACGTTAAAGAACCCCACGTGGGTCGAATTTTCCGGAGTCCTCCACTACAGCGTCTCTCATGATCATATGGTGGTTTTGGGACATTAAACTTAACATATCAATCAATCAATCAATCAATCAATCAACTCCAAATAGAGAGACCAATGTATACCTGAAACAGGAAGCTCACGACCGACTGGAAGTTGGCACCGACGCACCAGATGGGTGTGCGATAAAAGGCGTTGAGGAACGTCCCCAGTCCGCTGCTAATCAATCGCTGCATGCGCCCCGGGCGACAAACAAGGCGCGGCCGGCGGTCCAGCGCCACAATGTAGTAAAGGATGTACACGACGCACGCCGTGTAAAGAAGTACGTCCAGCTTGGACGTCGTCGACGACGTTCCCCCTTCCGACGACGTCATCTCCGCCGACGGACCGGGCCCACCGCTCCGCCTTCACCTCGCCGTCGCCTGCCGAAATATTTGAGGAAGCGTATTCGAACGCGTGCAGGGGTGCACGCGCTGGAGCTCCGGTTCGCCATGCACGTGTGCTACGGGCACGCCGCACATGTGTTCGCGCCTAGGAGAACGCTCGAGACGGTGAGCGGGAAGGAAAAACCGGATTGCCTCTGCATTTGGAGCAACCTCGACGACGGCGGTCCGAAGGCCACAACTTTTCCATACATTTAATCTGCCTGCCGAATAACACGCTCTTCTCACTACAGTGGCGCAGCCAGGTGTGTGTGTGTGTGTGTGTGTGTGTGTGTGTGTGTGTGTGTGTGTGTGTGTGTGTGTGTGTGTGTGTGTGTGTGCGCGTGCACCTCGTTAATATTTTTTTTTTCTGAAGCAATAGTTCTGAAGCCACAGTTTTCTGAAGCCACAGTTCATACATTTCTCTGCTCTTTGACGAACACAATGCCTATTCGCATAAACCGAATGAATGTAAACATTAGCTTTTTTTTTTCTCTCGAGTGAATACGAAAGGGAAAACTAGTGTTTACATTCAGTTTATACGAAATGGTAGTTATAGTTGAGTACTCAGCCGGACTTTCTGCTGTTTTCTCCACGTCTGTTGCCCGCATTTTTCTTGCAGTTAAACCCACATCAATACGCCGTTATGGACTAAAAGTTTGACTGAGTATTAATGCATGGCGTAACGAGTTCAGTCACTCTTCAACGCATGTTTTACTGCCTCGAAGTATCAGAGTGAAATGCATTGTTCTCTACTTCGATTATCAGATAGATAGATAGATATATAGATAGATAGATAGATAGATAGATAGATAGATAGATAGATAGATAGATATGTGGGCTTTAACGTCCCAAAACCACCTTATAATTATGAGAGACGCCGTAGTGGAGGGCTCCGGAAATTTAGACCACCTGGGGTTCTTTAACGTGCACCCAAATCTGAGCACACGGGCCTACAGCATTTCCGCCTCCATGGGAAATGCAGCCGCCGCAGCCGGGATTCGATCCCGCGACCTGCGGGTCAGCAGCCAAGTACCTTAGCCACTAGGCCACCGCGGCGGGGCGCTTCGATAATCAGAAAACGAGAGCGTGAAATGTTGCCCCACCGTGCTTTCTATAGAGAGGGTTGAACGTCCGTTCTACTCTTGCAACATTAAAAAGTAAAACGTAGCCTCCAGCCACCTGCGGGAAGTCAGTCTGGAACATGGTGATGTATCCCATCTTCATATAAACCGATCCTCGCGCGAGTTTGCCCTATAAAATGGTGCCACGCAAGTAGTCTGATCTTTGTATCTTTATTTATATGATCTTTTTTTTTTGAGGGGGGGGGGGTAGGGGGCATTGGACATTATTACAGAATCGGAAGGTACAAAACGGTCCCAAATAGCAAATGATTGAGTAAATATAAACACGATAGAAATAGAAATATCCCGATTACAAATGAAGAAGAAGAGCACATCAACCGTTATCTCTCGTTCTAGAAGGAATATGCAATGCATACAAAAAAAAAAGAACGCATGCACACAGACATGGTTACCAAGTGTCAGCACAATCAAGATAAACTGGTAGTATTGTCCCAGAGGCAAGGGCAGCTATTTGTTCTGGCAAAGCATTGCACCTTTGCTTTGACATTTACAAACGGCGATATTTGCTATTGCGGTAATCTTGAAATCAATGGGTCCCACTTTCATACGGTGATCTGTGTATTTGAGCTCAACGTAAGCATTCCGTCTTCTAATTACCTCGCATACGGCACAGAGCCACCTTTAAGATCACAGTTCATTGCGCCTGCCGAGAAATCCCCCTGGCATGCTACCAGAGACTATAAATATATACGTCCTAAAGTGAGGTCTGACCTCGCTCGTTGAAAAGGGCGTGGCGTAGCAAAGCACCGCATCCCCTTTAAAGCATCTACCTGGCGAACGAGATTAAACCCGGAATAACAACTTCGGGGCATTCGCACGAGACTATAGCCAAATTCTTATCTTGTGAATACTGGCACTTGTAATATGCGCCTTTTCAGGAAGCAACGGGGGACTGCAACGCTCCAGGAACGCAGCTGTTTTTTGACGTGACCGCTGCTCCCATTGAACAGCTAGCTCCCCACAAGCGGTTTACGCGCGCATACTTTTTTGTCGTGTCACGTGTATTTGATAATCGTAACGGACTCCCCTCGTGCTCGGTTATCATGCTCAGGTAGGTAGGTAATCATCCGCCGCGCGCCACAGCCTTTCGAGACGAGTTCGTTTCAGACGTAAGGTGAGTGGCATGAAGGCGTTTTTTATCTGAACAGAGATAACGAAGTAGCCGGAAAGCGAACGTGTATTACGCGGGAATGCGTCCAAGAAATACGGAGATGCGGGTGAGTGGAGCGGAATGTGTGAACATTCGTGGTCAGCGTTACAGCAGACACAAACCTTTTCTACAGAGACGGCCGACGAGCGTGCTCCAAACCTGTGCAAATGAATGAATGAATGAATGAATGATGTCTCTGTTTATAAAGGGTGAGTTGTAAAAACTAAGCGAGCAACCTATTGAATTCTAAAATAAATTAGATTCTGGAGTATCATGCTATATATGGCATAATAGGCCTGCCACAAATGGGAACTTCGAGTAAGTTACACCACCCATAAGCCCGCGTCCTCTTGAACATGCATCTAGCTATACGTGTGGGAGGAGAGCATGTGCGTAAGCTATGCCGCGCACATCATATAAACTTGACAACACGTACCTGTAAAGCCGGAATTCAAGAGGATGCCTTGCGTAAATAAAGACGACGGTCAGCGGGTTTTCCGTTGTTCTTGTTATCGCCCACTGACCCGATCTTTCCTGTGATGCAGCGGTGTCGGCAACGCGACACAAAAACAGAATCGTTTGCGGGGCTCGGCTTTGCTATTGCGGTGGCGAAACACTCATTAATGAGTCGAGTGGCGGCAGCCGAACACAGCGGGGGAACGCTGTACACGCGAATCCGTGACACGCGAAACCGTGCACATGATGCGCGCAGCTGCTCAGCGAAGGCGGCGTTAGACAGTGTGCAAAGGATTGTAGTCGCGCGTAGAGCTGATTTGACTAGAAAATGTCAAGGGCTACGAAAACGTCAAAAGTCGGTGTGGGGGGGGGGGGGGGCGGGGGGGCACTACGTTTATATCTGAAGTGGGGGCGGGGCAGACAGATGTGGCTGAGTGTCATTTTGTGCTTTATGTGTCATGGCCAAAAAAATAATAAAGATTCGGGGATGTAGGAGGGGGGGGGGGTTGCAAGGGCCTTGTGTGCAACCGCCTGGCTACGCCAATGCAAGATTTCTTTTTTTTTTTGACGTGAAAAATATCAGCTCATATTAAGACTCTCCATAGAGACGAGATGAGACAAACAATGGCTCTGATCAGGCTTGCCGCTGGTGGTTGCATTGCGCCAAATCGGTTACTTTTCGACCCCACTTGGCGACGAAAATTTCTAGTTTGTGCCATGGCTATTTACTGGCTACTTTTCAGCTTCGGGTTTTACTTACTTAAAGTGGTTTTATTTATTCATCAATAGTGAAGACTCTGTTCATGATAAAATTCGGCGCTGGTCGAGACACGCCAGTGCTTGAGCTGAAAAATTTCACCTTGATTTATATGTATATCAACAAGACCCGACCGATTTGCAACGAGTAACCCCCCCCCCCCCCTCCTTCTCCTCTTTCGACTGGCTGTGGCTTGCCGACATAGTAAATGCATGTTACACTCCACAGGCCCAACTCCCATTTTCCTGCGAATACGTATTTAATGTGCACAAATGAATTTATGCGAATAAATATTGGTTTGTCTGATTAATATATGAATTTCAGTTGCATAGAAAATTGATTTAAGGCCGTGATCTTAACAAACATTTCCTGCACGAAAAAATAAATCAAATTTAAACATGAAGCTAGCATATGTTAGAACATAAAAATGAATGATTCGTAGTTGCGTAATAATAAGAACAATAACAAGAATAATAATCGCACAATGGTTAGAACTAAAGGGGACTATGGGATATACACTTGCACATCAGTACATACTTCCGAGTGGTGTGAAGTAGCGAGTCTCTGCTTAAGGCGTAATATTTGGCACAGTTAAATTAACTGTGCTGAATTTTTTTTCCGTTACCGATTGGCAAATGATCCTCACCATTTCCGATGGAGGCGGAAATGTCGAGGCCCGTGTGCTCAGATTTGGGTGCACGTTAAAGAACCCCAGGTGGTCAAAATTTCCGGAGCCCTCCACTACGGCGTCTCTCCTAATCATATGGTGGTTTTGGGACGTTAAACCCCACAAATCAATCAATCAAATGATCCTCACACCCTCAATCAATTTTAAAAGTAACATTACAATTTTGAAGAATTTTTTTGCATTGCTAAAATGCCACCCGCCGCAGTCGCTCTGTATCATATCAAAACGAACAGTTAGGGTGGCGGCGGCACGTTTAAATCGGAAAGAGAGAAACCCTCTCCATACAGCACGTGAAAACGCACCTTTGCGCCGCTGATTCCTCGGATTCGCCAGTTTGCTGACGAGTACGCCAAGTCTGGTCACATGCCGCCTCACAGACCGTTGTCACGGCATGTCGAGTTCTCGTCCTGTCTTCTCTGTCATCGTATCCCGTCTGTTGGAGTTTCCTTGCAGAGAGTACTCTGTAATTTCACCCTTTCGAAGATAGCCAACGGTGCTCCTGCCGTCTCCATAGGAAGGACTAGAGTCGAGAGATAGGCCGCCTTCCAGCAGTGTACCGCGCGTGTCATTTACCCGGCGATAAACCCTTCTTGAAGTTATATCGATGCTAACATGTACACGCCTTTTTTTTTCCTTTTTTTTTTGTCCTGCACACTGCAGAGTCCTCCAGCGGCTTCTTCAACTCCACTGCCGGCTTTTGTGCCTCAAGTAGCCAGCTATCGCGCTATCGAGGCGACGACCTACATTTGCACATCGAGGTCGTGTGTATAACGTGTGACAGTGTAGCAGTGTCTGTGTGATGGAAAAAAGTGTAAATTTAAGGACTCTTGTTAGACACAATACGAGTTCTCATTAATAATACTGCCACGCTCCTCGCCTTTCGTCGACTTAAAATGCAGTCAAAGCCGTCTTGTGCTTTTTGATGACTACAGGCCTATTGTGAACACATTTAACTTTTGTGAAGTGCCACCGCTGCATACGCGTCAGCCCATTGACCGAAAATCCTTTTTTTATCTCTCTTTCTTTTTCCTCTCTCTCTCTCATCTTTATGCCCCCTTCTCATTCCCCCAAGCGTGGGATAGCTCTTTCCTCTCTCTCTCTCATCTTTATGCCCCCCTTCTCATTCCCCCAGCGTAGGGTAGCAAACCGGGCGTGTGCCTGGTTAACCTCCCTGCTCTCTATCTTGTTGTTCTTGTCCCCTTCCCCCTCCTTTCTCGAGTTTTGTTATCACCCCATTACACGCGTAAGTGCCGCCTTGCGCAATCACGCCGATTGACTAAGAGCCATCGAGATAATCGTAGAACCTTCCGATGCGATTGCGCGCACAACGCAAACATTACAGATTGTTGTGGAACTTGCGTGGCCGCTAGCGATAATGCTGGAATATTCGACGGCACATGTGTAAATGCCGACGCGCGTCACCGCTTGCGAGTTGATCGGCGGCCGACGCTCATGCTAGCCGCCATATCAGTGCCAGGGTGTATGCTGTAGCCTGACGGTCACTCTGACCTTCAGTTTCCCGGCCACGAGTTCGGCCAAATAAAGAGTTTCTTCTTGGACACGCCGAATTTTGCCTTCTTCGACGTCACGACCACGTGATAATATATCTGTGCGCGTGTGCAGCCAACTTCAAGAGGTGTTACCAGCAAGGCAAAACAGATAGTGCATTAAAGATACAACCTAAGAAGTAAAAAGAAACATAGCGATAGTTCATTGTTTGCGGGGCGTCTTCTTACCGAACGCGAGACCAACGTTTCGATTCCTGGCAGATTTTCTTTTCGAGACATCATGCGCGAGAACACTCGGATACTTATTGAGAAAATGATTGATTGATTGATTTGTGGGGTTTAACGTCCCAAAACCACCATTTGATTATGAGAGACGCCGTAGTGGAGGGCTCCGGAAATTTTGACCACCTGGGGTTCTTTAACGTGCACCCAAATCTGAGTACACGGGCCTACAACATTTCCACCTCCATCGGAAATGCAGCCGCCGCAGCCGGGAATCGAACCCGCGACCTGCGGGTCAGCAGCCGAGTACCTTAGCCACTAGACCACCGCGGCGGGGCTATTGAGAAAATGTAGCTAGCCACAACTGTTAAACAGAAATCCGTAATTCCGGATTATAATAGACTTTCTATTGATACTGAACATTATGTAGAGGAAATACGAGCTGAAGTGCCGGAAAGTACCGTATATGTAACGTAGGTAGTAGACGAGCACGAAAGTTGCAGCCCCACTTGTATACGGCAAATTACCCACTGCGGCGATGTCAAACTTTTTTTTATAGTACAGACATTTTCATTGAAGGCTCACTGGGCACCGCCGTAGTCGTCTATGCATGACCGTCCCCCCCCCCCCCCCCCCCCCCCCCAACCACCCCCACACCCCAAAACAATACCGAAGCTGTGACGTCGGCTTTCGTGCTACCGTGCAACAACCCAGAAAAGAGAGAATTCTCCGATAGAATGGTCTGCATGTCGCCCAATGCGAGCTTTATTTCGCCTCAGGATGATTCTACTCTATGTTTTGATTAAAAAAATCAAATGTAGCGTTAATTTAACGACATGTTCTAGTTTTCAAAACATAACTGACAGGTTTTAATTTTCGCAACGTAATTAACTGCTACGCGCTCCTTTCGAAATAACTGCAACTGAAACTGGTTCCAAGATCGGAAAGGAAGGAAGGATTTTTCGTTCCCGTTCGAGAGGAACGTGTACAACACTGCATTAGACTTTTTAGATCACATTTTTTTCAATCTAAACAGACTCATTTTCCTTAGTGTGCATCAAAATTCGTGAATTCAGAAACCATGCGGGTCATTCCATACAAAACGCCTCAGCCATTCTGGCGACTATTCCAAGTGTAGCGAAAAACGTCATGCGGATCCAATGCACTGAAAACAGTGATTTGCTCCATGACCGGACAGGAAAAAATGTTTGTCCCGTACGCGGCAGCCTTCCGAGTTATCGCGGAACGCCCAATCGAGAGCAAATAAATGCTGTTATTCTCACACGCCATGTTTTTCATTCCACTTATCGCTTTAATAAAGAAAAAAAAAATTGATGTTCCCCATTGAGGCTATCTTTCCTTTTGGTCACGCTCTTTCCCGTTGAAGTTGCACATTGCCGCCAATTGGGAACGTTAACATTAAACGCTAAAACGTATACTGCTTCTTCTATGTTTGTGAACAGCATTAAGCGCCACCTATACATACAGAGGCGCTTGTAGCAACGTCACAGCTCGTGGGCTCCACCCAGCCCAAAGCTCGCTACCGCCTTCTATGGTCACGTGACAACTGGCACAGCACCTGCCTCCGAGCACTAGCGCGCTCAATAATAGCATCGCAACAACGTCGGAGCTGGTTAAGCTCGGAGAAAATCCGTTAGTCGTTAATTTATCATCATCATGAACGACTTCTTCCTTAAAACCTAGCGCGTAAAACACACCAAGTCGGCTGGCACGCACTACCTTAAGCTCCCTTCTGTGAACGAAGCAGAACCAACCACAAAATGAAATATCACGGGTTTGTTAATTGAGGTTACTCCTATGCCGTTTTTTTTTTTTGTCGTTGGCACTGTGCGTTGAAAAGCCTTGTTACCCCTATTCCTCCTTTTTTCCCGCACAGGCATTGCTTAATACTGCTGAAAGATGGCGGCGAAATAGTATTAGAAATAAAGTCCCTGATTTGCCGTAATGAACAGATAGCAACAAATTGGAAAGTAACGCGAAGAATGGCGAGCAGATCGAAACGTGCCCCGCGTTTCTCACGCACACATGACGCACGAAACGTACTCACAGGTAAATATGAACGCGAACAAGCGTCTCAGTTGTTACTTCACTGTGTCTGAAAATCGCGCCCTTTTCGCAAATGGAGAGTGTGCAGCATGTGCAGTGACCTTTGTGCGCCCCGTAAATACAACAGAATCGTTCCGGTGAAAGCCCAAGGCGTATGATTTTCGCCACCACGTGATATGCGTGCGAACGCGTGAGCGTCCAACCCACCCTCTCCGCGGGGCAAAGTACGCGTGGGAATGAGAGAGCGCGCCGCCGCATCGTGACGATCTGGCGACTCGTTGCGTCATCTCGCTGGTAATGCTGAAAACGCGATAGTTCCCCCGAGATGGCCATCGCTATAGCGGCAAGTGGTAGATATAAATAACTTGCTGCTTAAGTGTTGAAGGAGGCGCTCTTTCGTGGCTGACGCCCCGCACTCGCAAGCAAGAGGCCATGGCCAATGGGGTCCCTGACTAGGGACTCCATCTTGTACTGTAAGGAAGCTGACTCACTTGGGGTTGGTTTCCCTTGCAACCTCCTTGTTTTAACAAATATTTACCACCACCATCACCACGAAGCAAGCCATAACTACCACAGATATCACCAGATGAGGTTTCAGGCAAAATTTGATTCTGCTTTTGAAATCTACAGTATAACACAGTAGTGGGGTACTATGAATTTATTTTGATCTCCCGTAATCCTTCAATATGCACCTAACTATTTTCTTGAGCAGTGGTGGATACAATTGTACCCAGCAAATATAGAGGTGCGTCATGCGCTTCGTTTTTCTTCAAATGGCTTCAAAGACGATGTGCACACCCGTACAAGCTACCCGGGTTGACAACTAGCACTCACTCAACTTCTCTGCGCAGCCTATTGCTTCAGAAAATTTTTTTTAGTAAGGACACTACCACGTTTGATAAGACTATCTATGAATTAAACTCCGGGAGCTGTGCTAAAGCTCAAATTTTTTCTTTTCACTCAGAATGAATATAAATCATGATAATTTAACTATTAATTTTGCACATGAGATTTGCACAAATCAGAAATCAACATACGTATTACCATCATCTGTTTCTTACAATAGAGTATGCACAGCCTAGAAATGAGATTGTGTAAGTTTGATGTATTTAAAGACAGTTCATCATAACTTTCAGCTGAAAGAAGTCAAAGAACACGAATTTTCGTGTATTTCTTTCCCACTAAAATGGCAGTTCTGTGGCCAAGAACTGAACACGCTGCTAAGTGCAACCCATTCGCAGCTAAGCTATCATGATAAGAACTGTGACATAATAGATTCTGTAATCTTTTGTCATGTCTGAACCATAAAAATACAGCAAAGATTACTAGTGCATGTCAACTTAGGCCTGGTTATCTTAAATAGGTAGTGACACCAAATTTCAAGGCTATCCCAAGCCTGTTGTGGGTTTACTTTGTATGCAAGGACTCTCCACACGAAGAGTCAGACACAACAAACGCGTAGAATATATTTGAATTCACTTCTAAAAGTGTAGCTGAATGCTGACTCCCGCGATCTAGGTGAATCGCTTGCGCAGCAACACTGTCGTTTAAGAATAGGAGAAGCAACGGCAGTTGTCGTGACGTCACACCAGATTTGTAGTGACGTGAATGACCTCCACCATCTCCGAAATGCATTTTGTGAACAAGGAGAGAACTAGCATGCCTGCTGTTACGAGTGTGCTGGCATCCCTTGCAGAAACACAGTGTACGTCCGTCAAGGACTCTGAGTGCTTCCGAAAAGACACTCAATGCGTCGTTCAAGGACACTGCGCGCATCCAAAAGCGGGGCTGTCTCATCCTCCATCAGCATCTTGGCGCCGATAAAAGGTCGGTGCATCGAGCGTCGTGCAGCTTCCTCGTCCACATTCTGTACATACATTGTAAATATAAACACGTTGTTTCCTTCTTGCTGCCTTTTGCCTTGCCACTGTCTCGATGCTACTGCAGCTGGCCATGGTGACTGTCGTGTTTGTTTTGCTGGCGCTTAGTGTGGCACGCGTGTATGGGAGCAGGCGAAACTTAATGCGATGTGCGTCACAGCCTTGTGTGCTCACAGGACCAAGCCACCTATGCATCAACGCCACTGCCCAATTCGGCACCGCGAAACCGAAAATGGTTTTCATAAGTAAAGCAATAATAAATTATTTAGCAAAAAATACGCGAATCTTGGTGTGTGTCTTATGCTTCCTGGAGCCGCAGGAAATGCTCACAACAAAGAACAAGCATGCCACAAATTTGGTGGCACCACCTCTTTAAAATGCAACAGCATTTTCTTTTTCTGATAAAGGACTAAATATTCCTGAACATACATTGTCAAAATGCCTAACAGCTCGGCAAGCAAGCATGGCTACTTGTTTTTTCTGAACAAAGAAAAAAAAAATTTTACACAGGGTTTAAAATTCATTTTTATGACCATTTAAACAAGCAAAGAAATGTTTAATTGTTTCTTAGCAGAGTGTAGTGCCACTGAATATCTTTTGTTAGCATGGAACCAATTGAAGTAAAACGCACAGAAAAAGAAAGGCAGCAGCTATGCATTACTACAAATGTGCTAGCTGCAAAACACTGCCAGCTCGTTCGAGCTAGCAGTATTTTGCCTTACAAGTTTTGTTTTGTTTCTTTTTTTTTACCAACATAGTTAGAACTTGTTAAGTTTCCTGAAGACAAATTTAAAATGCCGTTACACATACGGCAAATAATGGAATGATGCTCAGCTCAGCTGTGCTAATATGCACCTTAAGGCAGTAGTTGAAATTATCTAGTTCAGCACAAGTTAAAAACTAAAATAAAACATTGTTAAGTGATACTTATCACTTTGGCTGCTTGGAAGGATAATGCGCAAATAAAATTTACATTCAAAATATTGTTGCTTTATCACATCAATGTGGATCTAAGAAGGGACGTATGTGACTAGCTACTGCATCCGGTCGAGTCATGTGCACGTGGTGGTTACCTGCTACTTCCGCAATTTTAAACGTGCGGCAGTTTTGTGCACAGACGTCTGACAGTAACTTGTGCTTTGAAGATGTGGCTCCAAGGCCAGGAACAGCCATTACGACCAGGAGGTTGTTGGTGTAGCTACCGTAGAACTGTTTCAGGGCAGCACTGTCACACTGAAACCAACTGGTGTACTTCAGTCGGACGTCCTTAGTCAGGATGTAGCGGTTGTCCCCGACAGGCTTGCTACCACGTTTCATCAGCGTTCGTATGTTGTCAGGAAGGTAGCCTGGAACTATACTATGCCTGTAAAGCTTTATCACTTCCTCTTCAGTGTAGACAGGCGGCTTGCTGAGATCCTTGTGACCAAGTCGCACATTGCCCTCTAACACTTCCCGCAAGCCTCGTGAAACTTCGTTGGGATTCCGATACGAAGGTGCAAAAACGTCAATCAACACCAAATTCTGCACCTGAGAAAAAAAAAAGGGGGGGGGGGGGGAAAACACTTCTAAATACCAACTTTCAAAGCTTGAGTAAACAAACAGTTCTACTATGAAGGTCAAGAGGATGGCTTGGTGAGCTGAGAACTGCGCACTTACGAGCTATTTTGAAGTTTGTTCAGAACAAACACAAAGTAAAAACACTAGCAAACCATGGATTCATAGCACGCCCCAAAAAATGGAGTTTGGAAAGAAAACAATGGTGACAGTGACAAACGGATAGGCAAGGCGAGCACTGAGAGTGGGCCAAAACAAGAGTCCTTTTTATGAGTGAATTGTGATGAAATGGAATGTCTTAACTATCTTATTGTAGATTATGCATTGAACAAATGTGTTGCTGCCAAATAGCTCATACACAATGGTTAAGCCATGCTGCCTAATAATTTTGCAAGTGTTTGTTTCCTATTTTTAGTTCTAAACCTATTTGATTATCCTACTCAATTAAAGGTACACGATTCTCAAGCAACGAAGTGAACTATTGACGCACACCCTGTGGGATTACTCATAGCAACCAGTAGTATACAGCATTACTTAGATATCTTTAAGATAAGGTAAAATTTTTTTAACATAACCATAAGAAAACAATGCACAAAGTTGTCGAAGGCTTATACACAAAGAATTTGTTGAAAGCACGAAAAGATGGGTAGCAGTGCAGCCTTACAAGATCTTTTTGTTATTGTTCACTGCATTAAAGCAAGGATTAAACATCGTGGCTTTCTGGTTCGGAGGTTTTTGCGAACATACAAACACATTATATTCTACTACATCTGACCTGGCATATCCCGTCTGATAATGTTATGAACACACGATTAAATTTGCAAAAAAAGCCTTTGAAGTAATGTGACTGCCTTTAGAAAGTATAATCTAGGTACCTCGTGTAATTATATTTTCTATGCTCCTCAGGCTCATCGCTTATTCATCTTTATTGCTAGTTAACAAGTGACAAAAAAAAATTATGTAGATCTCGGTCTCCAATAAGGAATTTCACTGGAGCCAACAATTCGGGATTTCAAGGGGAGTGGTCTTTTTTCAGTTTTCGACACCACAGAAAGAACTACCTCAGTAGAATTATTGGCACCATCAACAACAGTTCAATTATTATTGGTCATTTCCAAGCCACGATCTTACACCTGATTGATGCACCATTTGATACAACACTTCATTAAAAAAAAGTATAAACAATGATACAAAGTTGTACTGGGATGCAACGAAAAGGCACATATGCTTTACATTACCAATGTTATATAATAAAAATGTGATTTGCTTCTGTTTATAGAATAAAACACTGATGTTTCCATGCTGCAAATGGGCACGCTGACAAATCTTAAATGTCTTTTTACTTCATTTGCATCCTAATGTGGAGTGTGGGAACACACATAAAGCTGATGATTTGGCATTACCTAATTTTTATGTCTACTAGACATGCATGTGCATGAATCCGTCTATTGCAAGCTCAAGTCGTAAATACTTTCATTACTTCATCTGCACGCTAACACAGAGTGTGACAACATTCGTAAAAAAATTGCTGGATTGACAAGGCTTTCATGGCTACAAGACAGGTAGATGCATGAGCCCATCGATTTTTCTTTATGTTGCCACTAAATTACACTAGTGACAAAATATAACTGGAAGGCATTACAGTAATACGTACGCACCCTCTCAGGAAAAAGGCAAGAATAGAAGAAGCCTCCATGGCCTCCCATACTGTGTCCAATCAAGGAGAATTGACTCCAGCCAAGGTGATCAGCTGTCCGTGATATGTCGAGCAAAAACTGCGTCGAAAAATATGACGCCCCTTTGGGCAGGTGTGAAGACAGGCCATGGCCAGTGAAGTCAAGCGCCACAGCGTTCCAACGAGAATCGAGCCTTGGTACAAGGAGGTCAAAGCTCCCAGCATTGTCTTGGAAACCATGAAGAAGGAGAACACGTCGACTTGGGTCCTCGGCTGACGACGGCAGCCACTGTTTAGCCGCGAGGTGGCCGTAGGAAGTGGGGATCTTCAGTTCTCGAACGTTGCGCTCCACGACTGGGACTTCATTGGTAGCGGCGCGGCACTGACTTATCCTTCGATACTTGATAAGTACCTGCCGCAGGTGCTTCGTACACCTGCAAAAGGTGCATACATGTCATTGATGCACGAGTTGGAAATTAGTCGCATGCAATCAGCCCTTTTCACCCTTAAGAGTATGCTTTTGTGTAGGTTTTCATACTTCAGACCCCACTATATATATTGTGGTGAGGACTGTGAGTTAACATGCTCTAGCAGTCTTCAGTCCCGTTTCTTCTTTGAGGCTTGCTCATGAGGAGACATACAGTGCAAACAAAAAGAAGAAACCATTTCAGTAAGGAAAAAATGAAAGAAACATTTCAGGTTTGACAACTTCTTTCTTTGCCACATCTAAGTTTGTTCTCATCATGGCCCATGAAAAGCTCTGACATTTCACTTCTAGGGCATGTTTGTGCACCAACTTTCACTCCAAGGTTTACTGTGTGTGGCATACCTTCGACTCCTTCGTCTGTTACTTGCAGTCCATTGGTAGTGTAGCAAACTGCAATAGAAACTAGCAACATTTCTCGGCCATTTATCAGCTCTTGCAGTAATCAATGAGACCATTGAGAAGTATATGTGATCAACTTTACTGTGCAAAACTTTTCTGTTTAGGAAAAATATATTGAAATATATAATACACAAGCGTAGGTCTCTACTGTTACAGGATATACTTCAGACCACCATGGTTGCATCAAAAAGCCCACAAAAATAATCAATTTTTGTACTGATCAATAAGAAAATGAAAGCGGTGTATATGGTTGCAAATTGAATAAATATGAAGGTCACGCAATATATTCCCTCTGCATCTACTACGCCTCAGAAATTTCAGAACTTAGCTGTCATCGGTCTTAACGTGTCATCGCCCTTACAGTCCTGTTAATGTTTTCCAAATACATTGCGCTTATTTTTTAGGGGAAAAGCTCCTTACACTGTGGGTCGTATGTCCGCTGTCGTCTTAGCCGTCATAGTAGCCAGTTGCATTGCATAGCATGTCAATAAAAACGGTGTCATAACATGTCCATGGAGTGAATGATGATGAGTGGGGGGAAGAGTTTGTCAGTCCACCCATGCGTGCGTCCGTTCGCCTCACTCGTCATCATTCACCTCGTGGATATGCTGTGATTTTGTTTATTACGTCATAATTACAATTGCATTAAGCAAGAACAAGTTATTTCTGCCAACACAACACCAACACAAGTGCACATTCAGAATGCAACAGCTACCACGAACTCCAAGAATTACACCAAGTTTTAGCTGGCGTCGGCTGCCCATAGCATGAGGCCACAATGGGAGCAGGTGTAAGCTGTGAGAGAAATGGTAAGACATTGCTATCCGCACCACCCTATCTAAAGTAGGCTTCAGTTCTGATCAATGGGGCACCGACCTTAGCTCAAAAACAGATGCCACTTGTAACTTGTGGCCTGTCCAGCTTTTGACGGAAAAGCAATAAACACCGAACTTCATGAATGCTCAGTTGTGTGCCAGGTTGAGTGCGCTTCTGAAAATACTCATACAAAATCTGCACATGTTCACATTATGAGTCTTAAGCTCACATTATCCACATAAAATGTTGTGGCCTTGAATATGTACAGAAAAGATTTAAGCTTTCTTTCAGCCTACCAAGCTAAAATAAATATTCCCCTTATTAATTTTATCCTAGATTTGTGCCGAGTGGATTGCACAGGATTGTCTTATGCTACAGTAAATGCTTGTGTGGAAGGAAAAATGTGTTATACCGGGTGTATCAAAAGTTGTACCCCAAAATTTTCAGAAATGCGGAAAATAGGATATTTGAAAAACGGTATTTGCTCGCTGCCTTCACAATTGCTTCTTTTGTGGCAGCAGGACATTTAAGATGGTTAATGTCATCAGGAAAGTAATCAGGAAAGTTTCAATTAGTCGATTTGGGCAGTTATGCCCAATGGGAGAATTGAAATTCTTCAGGCAAAAAACCCATTGCAGCTTTGAGATACAAAAAAGCAGTCTATAGCAATCAATATGACATAATGAAATTCAACCAATTTTAATGGCATAACCAAAAACCATGAGCCCAACAGACAATCAAAATGACATCACTGTTCAAGACAACAGTTACAGAGGTGTACATATATATATGATGATACAGTTGACGACCGATTTTTCGGACCCTCAAGGGACCGCGAAAATGTCCGAAAAATCGGGCAGTCCGAAAAAGCAAATGTGCCCCAAAAATGCTCATTTTATTGGTTACTATTGAGATAGAGGGCGGAAAAAGTGATCGATCCTCTTCTGGACCATGCTTCGCTTCGGTGCGAGCACGTGCGCCCGCATTTCGGGTAGAGTTGCCGTGTCGCTGTACGCTGACGAAAGGGTTGCGATCGCTTGCATCAGCTCGGCTTGCGTCGGCTGTGCTGTTGCAGGTAAGTTGTCGTCATCGTCACTCCCAGACTCCGCAAGCACTTGCCGAATGATTTCCTCATCCGTGAGGCCAGCGCACAGTTCCAAATCGTTGTCCACACACGGAAACTCGAAAACAAAACATCTGATGGATTATCGACGCCCGCAGTGCAAAAGTCGTTGATAAGCTGCTCGCTTCCCAACACGTGGTCGGCGACGCTGTTCTCGTCCAAGGCGGCCGACTCGCCATTCAACACAAATCCCGCGTGGCGGAAACAGTTGCGCAGTGTTGTCGATGCCATCGACTTCCACGCATCGGCGAGCATGCTAAGTGCCCCAAGAAAATCGACCGAGTACGCTTTTCCGCTGTCGAGGCACACCACCCCACGCAGAAGCAAGCGTGATCGATAGTTCACTTTGAGAGTGCGTATGACACCCTGGTCCTTCGGTTGTAGGACACTTGTTGTCTTCGGTGGCAAGAACTCGACACGCACAACCTTCAAATTGGTAATGTGCCTGTGTGCAGCGCACTTGTCGACAAACAACAAAATTTTGCGGCCTTCTAAATCGAATTTGCGGTCCAGTCTTCTCACAGAGCTTTCAAAAAGCTGCTGAGTTACCCTGGCCTTTTTCTTGGCCTTGTACAAAACAGGCAGGAAGTTTATGCCTTTGAAGCACCTCAGAGTTTCAACTTGCCGATGACGAGAATCTGTAGTTTTTCTGTGCCTGACATGATGCTACCGATCAGTACAGTAACTCGCTCCTTACTGTGTTTGCCACCATGGCAAGGGTCGCTAGCATAGGCAAGTGTCTTTTTTGGCATCAGCTTGAAAAAAAGCCTGGTCTCGTCACAGTTGAAAGTATCATCTGGCTAGTACTCTTGTAAAAGGGACTGCAGCTTTTCACAGCGGTAATTCGCAACGACGCTGAGGTCAACAGCTGCACTTTCGCCGCACAGTTTTTTAAAACTGAGATCAAAGCGCTTCTTGAAGTTTCTTAGCCAGCCGTCCCTGAACTTAAATCCTTCAATGTTCATTTGAAGCGCCATCATCTCAGCTTTCTGTTTGAGGAGGCTCCCAGAGCCGGGAACCTTGCTGGCCACTGTCGACTTCGACAAAACGAGAAGGGCCTCCTCGAGCTTAGGGTAGGTGCCTTGGCTGACATTCTTCTGACGACATCCAGCAGACTTTCCCGCCACCTCCAAAATCGTCTGCTTATTTTTGATGTAGTCTGGAATAGTCTGTTTAGAAATATGGAACTCTTTCGCAACGTCTGCCCGCGATCGGCCACTGTCAACGAGCTTGATGATGGCAGCTTTTTTCGCCATCGACATGGTGACATACTTTCCGTGCTTTATCGGAGCTCTAGAGGCCGACGACATCGGCGATACCTTATCCATTCTGAATCAGCGCTTGTAGGTAGGCAACACACATGGCACACGCACAGGCAAACAGTCAGTTGATTCGGTCCTGTCCATTCAACGGTCGCAGCAGAAAAGAAAGAAATATTCTTCGGCAGCAATGCTGATGCGAAAATAGCCTCGATCTAGCAGTTCGAGGTAGCCACCCTAGCAGAGGCTGGCGGGCGCCACGCGCACGGTCAGCAACGATTTGAGGCTATCGGATGAAAAAGTAAACAAGCAAGATCGCGGCGGCGCGAAAAATCATGGCAGCCGGCTCGACTGACGCTTCGAAAGTCCGAAATATCGAACAGCCCGTTTTTAAGTGTCCGAAATTTCAAGCTGCAAAATACATCGAATGTATAGGGTATGTCCGGGTGCCAAGTAAATGTCCGAATTATCGAGCATGTCCGAAAAATTAGGCATCCGAAATATCGGTCGTCGACTGTATATGATGTTTTTTGGCGCAAGGGCCATTTGATGGCCAAAGAGCGCCAGTTCATGAGACAGGAATGTGGACAATGATTGTGATTAGCGGCTGTATAAGGGCCATAAAATTCCTCGCAGTAAAGCGGGTAAAAACATACAATTAATAAAATCATGACAAGGCCGCGAAAGGTGTGTGTAGTGTGAATAGGTGACAAAAGTTGGTGATAATGAAAAACGATGGTGGACATGTATGGCATTAGCACAAGTACCTCACACGTTAGTATCCTTGCGTGCAAGGGCCGTGAGGCAAGTGCTTTCCTGTGTAGCCACCGCAGCAAAAACCTCTCTGGAGAGGTTGTGCTACGGAATGCCCGGGTACATGATATGAAAATTATGAATTTCTTTTAAAAACACTAGCAATGATTTATTACTAAAAAGCAGTTCCCTGCCAACGAACATTGCAGGGTGTAGAGGTATATGTTCTCGGTAGGATAATGGAAAGTGTTGTCTTCTTAGAGTGTCTAACTGTTTACATTGAATTAAAACGTGAAGAACTGTTAATGCCTCACCACATTTTTCACACAATGGTGGATCACCACCGGACAAAAGGTGTGTGTGTGTCGTGTATGTGTGTCCTATCCTGAGTCTTGTTAGTGTTACCTCTGTTAGACGTGATTTTGATACTGGTGGCCAATGGCCAAGGTGTGGCTTGATAACGTGTAGTTTGTTTTGTGTGTGTGTATCCCACTTGCTCTGCCAGTAGTCCCTGAGGTTTCGTTTGAGAGACGGCTTAAGATCAAGGGCCGGGATTGATATAGATGTAATGGCGGTGCTCTCATGGACGGATACAGC